GTGTTAGCAAGTCTCTTGGAGTCACTGGAAGAAGGGCAGTCTCTGTGCAGGCCATTTCAGCGGCACTGCCCCTCTCCCCTGGGAGGGCAAAGCTGGCACTGCACCCAGAGGGAGCAAGGCAGTGTGGTGGGCACTCCCGGGAGGCCGGGCCAGAGCTGCAGGCTAGCGAGTGACCTGCCTGGAGAGGCATCAGGGAAAGGCGTGAGGGTACAGGCATCACCCCCAGCTGTCATCCTGGGACTAGGGGAGGCTCAGGGCTCACGGTCTGCCTGGTCAGTCCTTCCTGGGGTCCTCAAGTGTCCTGGCAGTGTCCCACCCATTCGTTTGTAGGCAAGGCCCTGAGAGGGGAGCTGACATGGTCAAGTGGCCCCTGCCCAGCAGGCTCTATGCTTTGTGACATGCAGTGTGACTTTGGTCCCCACAGTGACCTGCTGGGCCCAGTCCCCAGGGTACTAGCAAGGGGCAGGGCCAGAGACACTGGGCCTCCAAAAGGAGGGTCTGACAGGACCGCAGCCCATGCCTCATGTTCAGGAGCCCTTCAGCAAGTGGCAGAGCTGGATGGAACCTCCGGCCTGGGGCCCCTTGTGGGCAGGTGGCACCTGGAAAGCCCGTGCACCTGGGTCCAGCTGCTGCTGCTGCGTATGCGTAGTGGCTGTGCCCAGGTGCTGCTTCTGCAGGTGGGGCTCAGAGACACTCGGGTTTCTTGTTTTTTTGCTTTTTGTATTCAGAAGGCAGACAGGGTAAATGCATACATTGCTCACCACAACTCTGAAGTCAGATCTGCATTTTCCCTGGGGAACTAAAAACTGGCTCAGGATTGTGTGAAGCAGGCCTGCTTTATTACTTTGCTGGTGGCCATCCCTATGCTCAGCAAGTGTGTCCCTGGAACAGAAATTACAGCCCTTGACTTGTGCTTTTACCTGAGCATCCACGAACTCATGCTCTCACGGGCGCACCCGTCAGGCCTCTGTGCTTCCCCAGGGAGGCTCTGCTCTGGGCAGCGGGGGCAGCATGGCTGCGTCAGCCAGCTGGGGGTCCTGACTGAAATGGAGACCATGTTTGCCCTTGCCTGTCCTCCCTGTGGAGTTGGGGACACCAGGTGTGTGGTGCCAGCCCCCCTTGTGCTGTTCTTTCCTGAGAGCCCTCCCGGGTGGCTTCACTAGGGGGAGGGCACAGAAAATGTACCGCCTGCCCCCTGTGCTTGACTGTGTTGGGAGGACGGGGGCTGCAGGAGTGCCCCGCCACTGCCCTCTGCTGGCTGGGCTCCAGGACGCTGTCCCGCGTGGTGGCTAATGGAGGCCCAGCCCCTGCCCAGAGAGGAAGAGAGCAGCTGTGCCGGCTGCCGGCTCCCAGCCCGGAGCGGCCTACCCCTTTGCAGCCAAGGCTTTGCACCCTGCCCACCTAGCCCCCCGGGTTGCCGGTGGGGGCAAGGAGTACCCCTCGTATTCCTGCCGCTTCCTTTCAGCTGCCCCCACGGCTGACAGGTGGTGGTCTGTCGTCTGGGTACCACCGCCAGCTTTCCCTCCCTTACTGTCACACTCTCCGCCCTGTCAGCCTCAGGTCTGTGCCCCTTACTCCCTCCCCTGCCTCCCCCACCCCCAGCTGTAGGAGGCCTTCTGTCTCCCTTGCTGCCTTCCCTTTCTCGTTGCCCTTTTCCTCGGGCCTGCTCCCACCGTGATCTCCCCGGCCCGTGGCCCCGACAGGATTCACATGCCCTTCCCAGCACGGGCGCGTGCACAGGCAGGGCTATAAATAACCCTGGTCCCTGCCCTGCCCTTTGCTTTCCCGTCTCAGTGCCATCTCTCCTGCCCTCTCTCCCACATGATGGAGTGGGCGGGCTTCTGAGCCACCCCTGCCTGGTGCCGCTGGCACCATTCTGAGGTTGAGGAGAAGATTCAGCCCTAGGAGAGGGGCCGCCCCTCCTGTCTTCTCCCCTGCCCAGAACGATCCCGCCCAGACATTCCCTCCTGCTGACCACGCCCTCCGGAACAGGGAGAGCCTGACTCTCGGCGGCGCCTTCCTGCGAACACTTTTTCCTCCCAGCTTTCCAGATGGTGTGGGTGGGAGTGAGACTCTGCCCTGCCACCCGTGCGCACCGGCGTCTCGTGCTGGGTGGGGTTCCGCTGCCCTGCGCGCACAGTAGCAGGATTGTTCCTTAGGACACCAGGAGTGGGGGTGGGTGGCTGCAGCTGGAGGGGCCTGCCTTGCCCTTCACCTCCACCCTGTCCCAAGGGCTCCCAGACTCTGCGGGAAGCATTTGCAGGATCAGCTGGGAGCTGCGTCCCCATTCATGATATGACCTCGGTGGGCTGAGATGGGAGGAGGTGTTGGGGCCCCCTGCCCTGCACCGTGTGCCTGATGGGCGGCAGACTTGTTGACTGCGGAAGCGCTTCAGGCCCCAGCAGTTTAAGCCAACAGTCATGGGTGGAGGCACCTGCTTGTCCCGCACACAGGGGTCCCAGGAGTCCTTGGAGCTTCCTGAAGATGCAGCCAAAACTAGGGCCCAGCCAGGAGCTTTGGGCCGCTTGCTGATTTGTTTCCTCAGTGCATCTTCATAGGGTCCCCACATGTTCCAGGCACCGTGCAGGCCCAGAAAGTTCCAAGACCAGGCACAGTGTGTCCAGGAGGCTCCTGCCCGCAGAGCCGCTGCTCAGCGTGCCCTGGTGAAGGGAGGGAGGGGGATGCTGTGTGCTGTGGTATGTGGGTGTCCTTCCCCTGGGGTGGCTGTCGGCCACGATCCTGATGGGTGCTCTCCTACACATACATGGGTACATGCACACCCATCCGTGTGGGTCTGCACGTATACACATGCATGCATCTAGCTCACGCACACTTGGAGGTTCCCAGAGCAAAGTGGTGGTCCAAGGAGTCTTCTTAGATGGCCCCAGTGGGCAGCGAGGATGTGCCGCAAGCCCCAGGGACCCAGAAAGCAGAATCAGGTATGACATGGGACTGGACCCCCTTCCCCAGTGTACACTGGGTAGCTGGGGCTCTGGGCAAGGGGACAGTTGCCTGAGACCATGGGGCTCACCTGCTAAGCCTGGCTTTTCGGCCCTGGCCCTGGGCACTTTCTCTTGGGTCTGCTGCCTGTACTGCCAAGTGTCTCCCTCCCCCTGGGCCAGGGAAGTAGAAAGGGCAGCAGGGTTGGAGGCACAGAGGGCCACCCTGGGCAACCTGATTGTGGACTCTGCAGAGACACCCTGAAGCCTGAGCTGGTCTGTCAGGTCCTTCCTTGAACCCAGCAGTTCTCACTTAGGGGGGGTTCGGCCCCAGGGGACATGACATCTGCAGACATTAGTGGCTGTCACAGTCGTGGGTAGGAGGGGGCGTTGCTGCCAGCATCTCTTGGGTGGAAGCCAGAAAACTGCTCAGCAACCCACAAGATCCAGGCCGAGCCCCAGCACCCAGCAGAGAGTCCTCCTGCCCCAGAAGTCAGCTGCAGCCTGCGCCCGTCAGCGAGCTCCTGAGGGGACGGGAAAGTGAGTGATGGGGTGGCCACAGTGGGCTTGTGCCATGGTCACTCACAGACAGGGATACCAGTAGCAGGAGGGACCGGCAGGGCTGTCACCTCGGGGACCATGGTAGGCCCGTCAGCACAGGGGGAGTGCAGAGAGCACAAGCGGGCTCTGGGCATGGCCAGCCTGACGCAGGGCCCCTCACCGGAGCTCGGGGAGTGGCCAGGCCATCACGCAGCAGTGTCCAGTGCCTGCGGCGTCATCATCTGTACTAGTTCCCGGGCAGCCCTGACGCAGTACCATGGCTGTGGCTGCTCACACCTGGGGATTCCTTCCTCCCAGTCTGGAGGCTGGAAGTCTGAGGTCACAGTGTCGGCAGGATTGGTTTCTCCTGAGGCCTCGCTCCCTAGGTTAGAGGTAGCCGTCTTCTCTTTGTGTCTTCCTCTGTATGGCTCTGTGTCCTAATATGTGTTTTTTTATGTTGAAGTATAATTCACATATAAGATTAGTTTCAGATGAACACCGTAACTGAATATTTGTATATGTTGCAGAATGGACACCACTGTAATTTTAGTTAACATCGGTCACCACACATGCTTACAATTTTATTTTTCTTGTGATGAGAACTTTCAAAGTCTGCTCTCTTAGCAGTTTTTAAGTATCCCATATGGTATAGTCACCATGCTATATGTCACATCCCCGGGACTGACTGCTTTTACATCTGGAGGTTTATACCCTCAGACCACCTAATCTCCTCTTATGAGGACACCAGTCGTATTGTATGAGACCTCATTTTAACATAACTGCTTCTTTAAAGACCCTTTCTCCAAATACAGTCGCATTCCAAGGCCCCAGGGGCACATTGCAGCCATAGCATTATCACAGCTGGGACTGGCACGGTCTTCCAGCCGCACAAACTCTACCCGCTGTATCAGCACCAACAGGCATCTCCTCTGACCCTGAGGCTAAGGCTGCAGAGCTTCCCCCAATTGGTAGGGGTGTTGACGGGAAGGGGGACCTTATTAGAGGGTCTCTGCCAAAGGGTTGGAAGAGCAGGTTCAAAGGACAGAGCAAGAGGCATGTGGTTCCACTTAATCAAGTGACAGAAGCCCTGAACTCCACCCCTGGGCCCAGTGCGTCAAAGGCCTAGGTCAGTCCAAGGGCCAGGTGGGCACCAGGCAAAGAGTGGGTGGTGGTGGAAGGGGTCACAGTGGCCACCTGGTGGGGCCCTGCGCCCCCTTGGCCCTGCCTCTTCTGGGCAGCCAGGCCTTGGTCACAGGCGAGAAGGGAGGGAGGCATTGCCTGTCCTGCTCAGCTCCAGACCTTCTGTGTCCCACTGTCAAGGTCAAGGGTGGCCCTCGGCTTTGCCGGATGACCCTCTGATTTGCTGTGACTACAGGCAGGTGCTGAGGCTCCCGTGCCTCCCTTCACACCCATGTGGAGCCCTCTCCAAAGGCACGTCCTCAGGCCGCCGGCCTTCTTCTCTGAGAGAGGCCCCCTCGGGCCTCATCCCCAGGGGCTGACTTCTGTCTGTGTCTCCTGCAGAGTGAGCTGGACTTGGAAAAGGGCTTGGAGATGAGGAAATGGGTCCTGTCTGGAATCCTGGCGAGTGAGGAGACTTACCTGAGCCACCTGGAGGCACTGCTGCTGGTGAGGAGGGTGTAGCGGGCAGGACGGGGCGGGGGTGGGGGCGCGGGGCAGGGCAGGGGCCGGGGAGCTCTCTGCTCACACGGCCCAGGTCCCAGACCAGTGTCAGAGCATGAGGGCAGCCCGCCCTCCCTGGAGTCACTGAGACACCCATGAGACAGTGAGAACATTCCACCTCTGCTGTGTCCACTAAAGGGTGGTGGGTGCTGGCATGAGACAGGTGCCAAACCAAGTTTAGCTTTAAGTTTTTATTTTTAATGGAATTCAGAAATAAAAGCACATGTATCACATAGCCACAATGGGCTCTGGTCATACCATGCACCTGACAGATGGAGAGCCCTCCCTCCTGTGCTACTTCACCTGTCACCTGTGCCTTCTCCCAGCCCATGAAGCCTTTGAAGGCCGCTGCCACCACCTCTCAGCCGGTGCTGACAAGCCAGCAGATTGAGACCATCTTCTTCAAAGTGCCTGAGCTCTATGAGATCCACAAGGAGTTCTACGATGGGCTGTCCCCCCGCGTGCAGCAGTGGAGCCACCAGCAGCGGGTGGGCGACCTCTTCCAGAAGCTGGTGAGTGGCTCGGAGCACGTGCACGGCAGCCACCCTGGGGCTTCCAGTTCCAACCCCTGCCTCAGCTGGCGGGCGCGTGCTGTCAGAGGCTCTCTGGATGCCAAGGCGACAGTGGCAAGGAAGAGTCGGGGTGTGTCTTGCTGCTTCAGATGCCAGGGGCAGGTCTTGAGTAGGCGCGGCCTTCTCCCTGGACCCCAGCGTAAGACCTGTCCCTGCTTATACTGCTGGGTCCTTTCCAGCTCTGCTCAGCTCTGCTTGAGGTTTGCAGACTGCAGAGTGGCCTCTGCCCTGGAGGGTCCCTGTGGGGCCGGTGCTGCCTCCCAGGAGAGCAGGATTCCGATCTGAGGCACAGGAGATGGGGGGCGCGGGTGGAGCCTGGGGGGGCAAGTGCAGATGGGAACAGAGAAGGGGTGTTATACTTTACTTCATGTTTGCAGTCACCGGAATGAAAGGATCTTGAATCACTTGGAGAATTTGTTTAAAGACTGGTGGGGAGGAGGAAACTCGGTCAGTAAAAATGCAGGCGCTGGGGAAGTGCCCTCTGGTCCCAAAGGAGGGCCTTGTAGAGGAAGCGGGGAAAACGGGCCAATGGCTTCCAGAGCTGGAGGCATACTGAAGGCCAAAGACTTCAGGAGTGACAGCCTCCCACCTCGGCTGAGTTAGGACTGGTTCCGTGGACGGGCTGGAGAAGTGCTGGGAGGGGCGGTTTGTAATGGGGAGCGGGGACCTCCAGCCTTGCAGTGTGGGGATCGGCTCTGATCAGGGGCACTGGGGCCCCGCGGGTGCCCCGTCTCACCTGAGCTGGGCAGCCCTGTAAGGCCAGGCCCTTCCTCATCACCGTGCAGGTGGGGAGGCTGAGGATTGGTAGGTCACTTGCCTGGACTGTAACCCTGGTTTGTCTGTCTCCAAAAACAGAATCTCAGAAAATGCCTTTGGGGGCATTTTTGCAGGATGACAGAATAACAGTTCCCAAAAGGACCCCCAGTCTCTGGGCCTCCCACACACCCTGCCAGCCCCAACCCTGGCCTCGCCCTGGCTCACTTGGGCGCAAGTGTTCCGCTCCAAGGTGTGGCTTTCCTGTTGGCAGTGCCCTCCCTCCCCTGTCCTGGTTTCAGACACCCTGGACTCCAGGCTGGAGCAACAAAAGGAACATATGAAAATTTTCACCTGTTGCCTTCAGATTTTCGCTACCTAGGACCCCTTTCCCTGTGGCCAGAGAGTGAGAGGGTGTATGTTGATGCAGGTGCCGCCCATCTTTGAAGACCGCCCACCATTTCTCTTCCTGTGAAGTGTCAGCAGGGTTAAGCCTGGTGGATTTGACTCAGGCTGCAGCCCTCTCGGGAACTGGAAAATCGTGTTACTGGGAAGAAACCACAGCCAGCCCTCTTCCCTGAATAACATTCCGAAATCACTCGGAAACTTTTTTTTCACATTTTAATAGTCTGATGAATGCCGAATTGGGAAAGATTCCTCTGGTTTCCCTGATGTCCTTGAGCTACCTTTGCGGCAGGCAGAGTGGGGACAGGGGCGGTGCTGCAGCGGGAAGTTGAGGCCCAGCAACTGCATGCTGAGCTCGCACACAGGTGCCAGCTGGGCTGGGTGCTGCGGTCTCCCCAAGGACAGACAGACATGGGCTCTGCCCTCGGCCCGTTTAGACCAAGAATGGGGCCAGCTCCCTGTCGCCCGCCGTGTCAGGCTCCCTAGCTGGGACCCCTCTGCTGTCCTGGGACCATGCGCTGTGTCTGGAAGCTCTGAAAGCTTGATCCAGGCGACGCCTGGACTCCCCGTCCTGCGGAAATGCACAGAGAACTACTGCCGCTCAGGGTTTGGCTTCTGGCTGAAACTTTATCAGCACATTCTTTTGTTTCTCTAATCATTTCAAACTTCCAGAAGTGTTGCAAAAACACTTCAGAGAACTCCTGTGTGCCAGATACGCTGATTGTGATATTTTTCCACATATTTCTCTGTCTTGTCCATACATACGCATAACACACACTGAATAGTTTGAGGATAAATTGCAGATACCTGCCCTTTTAACCCTAAATATTTCATTGTGTATTTGCCAAGAACAAGGACATGCTGTTCTGTAACCCACAGTGCAGTGGTCAAAGTGAGGAAATCTCATACTGACAGGACTCGGATTCAATATGTGATCCATATGCATATTTTTCCCAAGTCAGCTGTGATGTTCCTTCCAACCACCTTCATTCTCAGATTCAGGATCCAGTCCAGAGCCAGGGGATGTACTTGGTTGTCATGCCTCTACCTTCCTACAGTCTGTGACTGGTCCTTGGCCTTTGCTTGCCTTATGTGACCTTGACCTTTTTTTGGAGGGTAAAGGCCAGTTTGGGTTTATCGGATGTTGCCTTGGGAATAGATCGAGGTTCTGTGTTTCTGGCAAAAAAAAAAAGTTTAAATACCACAATAGCGGTGCTGTGTCCTCAGTGCCCGCTGTCAGGGGGCACAGGGTCTCTCTGTCCACCATCAGGGGGCATGTGAGCTCCATCTGTCCGCCACTGGTGCAGCTTGGTTTGGGATTAGCTAAGAATGTGGGAAGGATTTGTCTGGAACTTCTCCAAAGCCACGTGGAAAACACGAGCTCCTTCGGGAAAGGCAGCAGGAGCGGAAGTAATGAAAGGGCTCCCCTCTCTCGGACCCGTGTTAGTTCACTGGGGCTGCCACAGCCTGGGCAGCTTTAGCAACACAAGTCTGTTTTCTCACAGTTCTGGAGGCTGGAAGTGTTGAGGTCAGGTGCTGGCAGGGTTGGCTTCTCCTAAGGCCTCGCTCTGTGGCCTGTAGGCAGCCATTGTCTCCCTGTGTCCTTGCATGGTTGTCCCTGTGTGTGTCTGTGTCCTAACCTCTTATTACAGGCCCCAGTCAGATTGGATTTGGCCCACCCTACAGCCTCATTTTCACCTAATCGTGTCTAGGCCCCATCTCCAAATCCAGTCACCTTGAAGGGTGCTAGGAGTTAGTACTTCCACGCAGGAATTTTGGACACAATTCATAGGACACAGTTGAATAGTAATATCCCCACAGGATGTTACAGAGAGACCAACCTGACCACATTGTCTAAAGCTGCCTGAAACTCCCAGCCCTGCTCCTCTGAGCCATCTGCTGTGTTACGCGTTTGTTTGCTTATTTATCGTGCGTCTCCTCTGCTGGCAGACCTCCCTGCCCCTGAGTGATTCATGGCTGTGGGGCAGTGCTGTAGGCCTGCCTTTTGGTGGGAGGTGCTTGGTGGCTAGGAAAGGAGGAAGGAGGGAGAGAGGGTCGCTATGGTCTGACCATGGTACGGATGATTGACAGCCTGGATTCTGGACGCAGCCACTTGTCAGGGCCATCGGCTGGGTAGGCGCTGGGCGGGGCCCTCCTGCAGCTGCTGCTTGTCCTCATGCACCCCCCAGGCCCTCCGTGCAGGCCCCGCAAGGAGCAGGGCCAGAGACCAGACAGTACCAAGGATGCTTGGCTTACCCAGCATCTGGAATTGTCATCTGAAGAAACATAAAATTCAACACAAATGCAAATGCATGTAAAAATAAAATTTAGGTTCTGCACAGAACAAACATCAGGATTAGTGAAAGCCTTGGGCGTCCAGCTCATGGTGGGTTGCAGAAGGAGGCCCTGGCCAGTGGGTCACTGGGGTCTGTCCTTGCCCTCCCCAGGCCTGGTTTGCTGGTGCAAGGTGAGGAGAACTGGTTTCCCCACAGCTGCCTCTACAGGTGCCTGGGGCCCAGAGGTGGTGGTGACTGCATGCTGCCCTCCATGAAAGGTGCCGCGCAATTGAGTGTCTGAGGAGGAGGCTAAATGAGGAGACCCCCTATTAATGAGAACCTTTGGTTTGACAAAAGAAAAATTAAATGCCTCTCGCCTCACAGCTGGCAGCCAGCAGGTCTCCCACCTGCCCTGTGGACAGTGTGACACCTGGGCCCTCTTGCCAGATCTGGGCTGGGCTCGTGTCTGGCCATTGGGAACTGCTTTTCAGGGGCAGCTAGATTGCATGTTCCCTATATGTCTGAAGGCACTGGTCACTAGCAGAGCACTGCAGCCACCACAGGCCAGAGGGCCGACCTCCTTGTCCACTCTGCTGTCCGGCAGCCAGAGCAAGAAGCTGCTGCTCCGTCCCACCTATGTAGAGACATTGGTTCGTATTCACTGACAGCCTTCCGTTTTAGCTGCTACTGGTGGCACCATTTAAATAAGTGGGATGGGAGGAATAAGCAGCTATGGAAGAGGGCCATCACCTGCCTGGGGCTGTGAGTCACCTCTCAATCTGTTGCTTTGGGAAAGGGAAGCATACTCAGTGAGTGGGGATGGGAAGCGGTGGGAGGCCAGCGCGGAGGGGCTGAGGTATCTGCAGCTCTGCACCACCTGCTGCACCTGGGGTTCCTCCAGATCTGTGGAGAGCCCATAGCTCAGAAAGATGGGGAGCAACAGCATGTGCCCCATACCTGTCCTGCACCTGTCCCACACTCTTTTCCTTCCTCCCTGCAGGCCAGCCAGCTGGGTGTGTACCGGGCCTTTGTAGACAACTATGGAGTTGCCATGGAAACGGCTGAGAAATGCTGTCAGGCCAATGCTCAGTTTGCAGAAATCTCGGAGGTACGCTGTTCAGACAGGTGCACCCCTGTGCTTCCTGCGGTGAACCGTGGGCTGGCCGTTGGTACACTGTGACTGGGGAGAACGAGGTGTACCTAACCAAGGTCTGGTCATAAACCAGCTCTGTTTCCAGATGCCTGTGAGTCACCTTTGATAGCCCCTTGTGGAGGATGCAGTTGTGAGCATCCCACAGCCGCACATGCTCAGGAGTCTGAGCCCAAGCTGAGCTGGCTCGTGGCTGGGATCCCCTCCCGGGACAGGGGGCAGGGGCGTGGCGGTCCTTCACCTTCTCCCGGGTCCCGTCCTGAGAAATGAGTTTGGGCAGCATCCAGTTAGACCAGAGCTGCCCAAGTGTGTTCTGTGGAATGCTAGCTCCCAGGCGATAGATCATAGGAGTTATATGAACAGGACTTTTGGAGTCAAGTTTGGGAAATGTGGGATTAAACCAAATTCATTTGTTTTCTTGAGGCAGGACTTCCAGGGGTTCCTGGGTGCTGGTATGCACAGTGTGTCCAGGGTGCACATGTGTGTGCGCCACCTCCCGGGCTCCTGTGAGCATGGCCCTTGATTTGTGCAGAGTCTCACACACGGCTGTCACACCCCCTCAAGCCCTTAGGGAGCTGCTGAGGCAGGCATGGGGGAGTAATCACTGAGGGGTGCTAGACATCAGGAGAGGAACCAGGTGCTCTGTGGAGCTGGGCCCCAGCGAGCTTTGAACGCTTGGGTGTTCAGTCCTGAGGTTTCCTGCAGCACGGAAGGTTGGAGAGCCGTCTCTGTGCCCCTTCCCGTCCTGGTGCTGTTTCTGTCCAGAAGCCCAATACTGGCATTAACCACAGCTTCTTTCAAGAGACAGTTTTAGGCACATGAGAATCTTGTATCTTCATTTCTCTTGGCACCTTGGACCAAATCAGTGATACCATCTATTCTGTTGTGTTGAAATGTGACCCACCCACCAAAAAACTCTGGTGTCCTCCTGGGATCTTAGAGGGTAGGGTGGAGGTGGGATCTGGGGTGGGTCCCAGGGATGGTGGCCTGTCAGCCCCACCAGCCCGCTGCATTCTGCTTAACTGCTCCCAGAAAGCAGTTCCGTGCACACAGGAGGGCAAGGTTTGCCTCGGTTTACAGGATTCTCTACATCAGAGGCTCTCTGTGGGGGGCGGTGTCCCCAGTAGGTATTTAGTGGTGCCTGGGGAGTTGGATGGCCACAACAGGAAGAGGGGCCTGTTGCTGCACCCCGGCAGAGGCTGGGACTGCTGTCCAGCCCCCTACAGTACACAGGACAGGCCCCCACAGGTAGTTTCCAGCCCCACATGTCAGCTGCCAAGGTTGAGGTGTCCCGGGTGAACCGCAGATCCGGGGCCTGCCGTGCGCCCCTCTCACTCTGCTTTTCATGCTGTGGTCCAGAACACAGCCCTGAGGCTTGCCGCCTCTGTGCTGAGAGGGGGATGAGGTTTCTACACAAGTTCCCTGACCGTGGAACTTGCCATGTCAAAGCCGCTTCGATTGTCCCATTTGAAAATGTGCTTTTTCTTCCGGGGGTGGGTGCAGAACCTGAGAGCCAGAGGCAGCAAGGACGGCAAGGAGCAGACGGCCAAGAATTCTTTGGAAAGTGAGTCCCCTGTGTCCCTGGGGGTGGCCTCCTTGAGCAGATAGGCCCTTGGGAGAAAAGCAGACACGGCTCCTGTTGGGTCACCGTCTGGCGCCTTCGCTCTCCCAGACTCCCTGCAGTGAGCGCGCCAGGGGGCGAGGGGGGTGGAGGAGGAGGCCGCCAGCACCAGGCCGCCAGCCAGGAAGAATGGTGGGCATCAGCTAACGGCCATAAACAAGGCGCTGTCGGGCCTTTAAATGTTGTCACGTTGTCCCCCAGTGGCCCTGTAAGGACTTTTTTTCCTCCTTTTTTCAGATGACAGAGAACAGGTTTAGAACAAAAGTAACCCACACAGAACATAGGTCCTAAGTGGCCAGGCAGGGGTGAAGCCCGAGTCGCCAGGTGCTCGGGCCCATGCGTTCACCCTCCTTGCTCTGAACAGAAAGTGGGGTTGGGACTGATCAGTCACGTCTCACCCTGCTTGGTGGGGTGGCGTGAGCAGGTACCCCTACAGAGGACAGCAGATGTGGCTCCAATGTCCCGAGCTTCACCATGTGCCGAGCCTCAGTTTCCCCATCTGTAAAATGGGGATAATTATGCATGTCCTACACTAGTTGAGGGAGTCACGTGAGGAAATCCATGCCCATGATGGGTCAGGGTCAGCCCCTGGCCGGGGCTCCTGTGCAGAGTCCAGGTATCCGGGAAACACCCGTAAAGCCGAGAGCTAAGTCAGCACCAGCGTTAGTTGGTGCTGTTCTCAGACTTCTCTGCTGTAGGGATGGGCACTGAGAACTGCATGCTAGTCTGCGTGCAGGGGACCCCCTGGGCTGGAGGACAGGGTTGGGACCCTCAGTGGCTCATCCTCCCCAGCCCAGAGAGATAGGCATCAACGCTGAGCCCTTTGTTGTCATACCTGAGTCGGCCATGCAGGCATGCGTTCTGACTAGCGCCTCTAGACTTGGCATTTCACGTCAGACTAAGAGCTCAAAGCCATGCTTCTGGGCCTTCCAGGTGCCCCAGGTTTGCCCTTATCACTGGGGAGGTGGGAGTTCCCAGGGGACGCGGGTGGCCTGCTCCCCCCACCCAAGCGCTTGCAGCGCGGATGGGCCACAGGTGGTCTGGGTCTGCTTTCTCTGTGTGCGGCCGTCTCTCACCCTGCCTGTCTTTCTGCAGCCCTGCTCTACAAGCCTGTGGACCGGGTGACCCGCAGCACGTTGGTCCTGCACGTGAGTCACTCCACCTGGGCCTTCTTAAACCAGAGCTTTGGCTTCTGCTATTCTAAGAGCTGACAGTGATGTTTGAACTGTTGCCCACCCACCACCCTTTTTCTGCCATACACCTTTATCAGAAATGCAAGACTCCCAGGGGAATAGATGGGGGGATGTAGCAGGCTCTCCGGGTGTCCTGGGTGCCCTTGTAGGAACCAGCACAGGGAGGGAGCACCCCTTCCTGCATGGGAAGGGCCTGTGGTCATGGTGCGTGAACCAAGCCTCCAGGGTGGACGGGTGGGGGCATAGGCATTAGGTGCCTTCTGGGGCCACTGCCTCCCAGCCTGGGGCCAGGGTACCTGGGGGCCCTGCCTCAGTGGGCCTGTTCCTGCAGGCAGTGGGGGGGTCACTGAATGCTAAGAAACAAAACCAGAAAACAAAAATGGACCCTAATCCTACTGCCTGGGTGACCCTATTCAGGTATCTATATGGCAAGTCATACAGGTGTATATATTTTTTTAGTTTACAACCTAAACACAGGAGTATGTGGAGTTTTCATTTCCGTTTCTGCCTCCTCCGCACAAAGGAACTGCCGCCACAAGTATTATTTACACACATGCAACATATGAACATCTTTTTTAATTAGACAGGTGTTGTGCCATGTAGATTATTCCACACTTTGCTTTTTTCCCCCCTAATGTTGTATCATGGAGACTGCCCTGCTTTGGCCCAAACAACCCTGCCTCATGGTATTTAATCTGCATACCATTCCATCAAGTGGACACTTGATGATTTCTTACCATTCTGCGATTAAGAGTTGTCAGATGGAGGGAGATGAAATGCGATTTGCGGCCTGGAAGGCTCTGGCGTGTGGCCCCTCGGAGTCTCTAACACCCTTCATTCCGTCCCTTCGCCAAGATTCGCTCAGGCCTGCATGGCCAAGCATCCTGGCAGGGAGCTGCCTGCGAGCGGTGGGGGAGGCTGGGGCCCAGACACGGGAGCCTGCCTCCAGGCTTATGTCATGCCTCCAGGTTCTTTTTGCAGATAGGATTTGGGACTGAAGGTGATTTTGTTTCTCTGAACCACAGAGTTGTTGACCGTGAGCACGAATTACATGCACTCCTACTGGAGAAGGGGTCAGTATTCCCATCTAGATTCTGAAGAGGCTTGATCTCTTACCTAAAGCAGGAGGCACCTGGGAGGCCCAGAGCTTTCTGTCCCCCGTGCACAGACCAGTAGACTGGGACCGATTCTGCCCCCTAGGGGACATTATTGGAGCCACAACTGCAAACTGAAAGGGCTACTGGCATATAGTGGGTAGAGGCCAGGGGTGGTGCCAACGTCCTACAATGCACAGGATGGCCCCCACAGAGAATGCTCTGACACAGAGCGTCACAGTGCCAAGGTGAAGAAACGCTGCCCTAGACTCTGAGAGTGGGAGCCCCTCTCAGCAGCGTGCAGACAGCTTGGGCTTGGGGGAAAAACCATTTAGGATCTGCTTCCAGGATGGCGCTCACACAAGTGCTGTCTGCACAGCCCAGGCCTGTCATGGGAGGTGATGGCGATTCTCTGTGGGCCAGCAGGCCTGGCTTTGTGTCTGTGGGGGGGGGTCTACAGTTTGCAGAGTGGTGGGCACCAGGACTGTGCACTCTCTGACCTGAGTCCTTTTGCCTGGTGTAGGACCTGCTGAAGCACACACCCTCCAGCCACCCTGACCACCCGCTGCTACAAGACGCCCTCCGCATCTCACAGAACTTCCTGTCCAGCATCAATGAGGAGATCACGCCCCGCCGGCAGTCCATGACCGTGAAGAAGGGAGAGGTGGGTGAGAACAAGGTGGTCCAGGTTTGCCCAGCCTGCCCACGTGGAGGGTGTGGGGCCCCTCTCCACTCCTCCACAGACTGTTGAGCCTAACACGGGATTTTGGGGGTGCCCTTTGACGGTCCTTGACCCTGCTGGGGCTCGACCCAGTCCTGTGTGAGTGGCATCAGGCAGTGCTGCAGGGGTGCACGCCTCGTTTGGCACCTCTTCTTCTATCATAGCAGGTATGTCCAGAGCACCCCTCCTTTTGCCCACATGCTTGCCAGCTCGGGTCCCCACCCAAGGAGACTGGTGAGAAGGACAGTATTCGTCTACCCGGAGCCACGTAGTTCCTTCTGAGTGTTCTTCCTTTAAAAAAACTGTAATAGCAGATTTAAGGTTTGAAAGTGGGAGGGAGGGAGGCGGGTGTGGTTTGTATTTGTAACTGGAGACAGGCTGAAGATGGTGGTCCCGACGTCTGTAGCCAGGAGGGCTCGCCCCCTCCCTCCCTGCCACTGACAGCCACCCCAGTCTTCATTCCCCTGCATGTCACCCATAAGAGCATGCAGAACAGGAGCTAAGGACGCACTGACCCAGCCTGCTCTGGTGGCCTGTACCCCTTCCTGGGAGACCCCAGCATGGTGCTAGCCCAGTGCCATCCTGGGTGGGCCTGCACAATGGGTCGGTGGAAGTGTGCGAGTCAGGGAACTGGCATCTGGCGTGAGCATGACACCCTTTGTTGGAAGTGGCACTAAGCCTGGGGGTCGCTGACCCACTGCCTCTGGGTCTCGTGCAGGGATAGGAGCCATATGGCTCGGGTGGGGACATGGTGGCAGTGAGCCTGACTGAGGCTGCCACTGAGAGCCTAATCAGCCTCACACCACGGGGTGAGTCCCCAGCGTGGCCGCCTGCCTTTCTGCTCTAAGCTCTGCGCCACGGGCTGCACAGCATCCCAGCTCGGGCTCAGGCGAACGGTGTGGTCCTGCTTTGGTGTTTGTTTCCCAAGAGCTAGCCGCTTCCTGGAGCCATCCTCTGCCTGGGTCGCAGGAGCCCTCATGGAGGAAGGCGGGCAGGCGGGCTGAGCAGGAGCTGCGGGGTGGTGCCATGGTGTGGGCTGTGGCTGAGAGGCAGTGAGGCTCCTGCAGAGGACAAAGGTGGCCTTTCGGTGGAGGATTGAAGAGGTGGAGAGTCTGGACCCTGCTGGCCAAGTGTGCAAGGGGTGCTGCGGAGAAGAAGGTGGGGTGAGGACAGGGCAGGGGTTGGGGTCCCCGGTGCCGCCAGGCCGGGGTGTGGCCTCACAGACAGCTGCCTCCACTGTGCGAGCGGTGAGAGAGGGAGAGCTCTGCCTTCCTCCTCCAAGGGCGCCAGTCCCATCACGGGGTCTTCCCTCAGGACCTCCTCCAAACCCCATCATCCCAAAGGCCCCGCCTCCAGGTGGGTTGGGTTTCAACATGAGAACTGTGGGGGGACACAGGTAGTCAGCCAGTAACAGCCTGCCTCTTCCAGGTGGGTCTTCCCAGGGAGGCTCTGGGTGGGCTGTAGCTGGGGTCGGGGCTGTGTTGCTGGGGTGACAGCTGGCGGTGGCCAGCCAGCCTAGGGAAGGCCCCTTGGGAAGGAGGCGCCCCTCCTCAGAAGACTGAGACACATGGCGTTACCTCACTGGGCCTGTTTGCTTGTCCGTAGACTGGGGGTGACAGTGCCCGCCACCCCCCATATGATTGTCATGACACAGGAGGATCCCAGTGGCAGGGCCCCTGTGAGCAAGGCCTGCACCTCCAGAGGACTCGGCAGTGGTAGCCAGTAGCCCCGGCGGAGGCCCATGTGGTCCTATAAGTATGCCACCAGGCTGGTGTTTCATTCCCATTTTAACTTTAGGGAAACTGAGGCTCAGAGAAAGGAAGTGGCTGAGCCCGTATTACATGGTGGAGAAGTGAGAGGAGGGCAGGCAGCCGGCCGGGGAGGTGACAGCGGCCCTGGCACTGCACTCCCTGGGGAGACAGCAGCGTCCCCTCCGGCAGGTGCTCCCCACTGGGATGCGGGGGGGCTCCCCAAAGGGAGAGCCATCCCCCCCCGACGGCCACTGCGCACCACAACACGCAGAGGGCGTCACGCAGGGACACACGCTTACACCCGTGGGGATGCACGGAACACAGGCTCACGGGACCCATGCAGAGGATCACAAACATACGTGCAAAGGGACAGGGACACATAAGGACACAGAGACTCAGGGATACATATACACATGGGGACACACATGAAGAGACACACGTTCTCTCCAGCAGTCCCCGCAAACCGGTTCTTCTGAGTTGCTCTCCACCCTCAGACCCCCAGAAGTGTGGTGCTGACTGTCCCCAGGTTCCAGTGGGGTCCTAGCCCTCTCTCTTCTACAGCTCTGTCTGGGGTTGTTTGCATGAGATGCTGTCACAGGACAGTCCTTCCCAACCATGTGACCTCACCCACCACAGCCTGGATGCTGAGGGGCTGTGACCCAGGTGTGGCCTGGGCCCTGCCCCGGCCTGTGTGCCCCAGAGGACCTGACAGGCAGGTGGGACTAGAAGTGGTGAGTGTTTCTGGGAGAGACATCCACTTGGCAGGTATCTTCTTGGCCAGCTGGTATCCCCACAGGAGCTGGTTACCAGAGAGGAGGCCCAGGTGATGGCCACGGCCCAGCAGAGTGGCCCTGCGCCAGGCCTGTGCAGACTCACTTGGACCCCCTTCACCGCATCTTTTCCATCCATTCCCTTCGTTTCTCTGCCCTCCTCCCCCGGATCTTCTATCCTTGGCCTCTGCTGTCCCTGAAATGGGCCGATAGCGATTGCTGTATTCTCACTGGGACTGTGTGAGCAGCAGGAACCTCCCTTGGCTTGGGGCTTCAGGCCGGGTTGGCCACCCAGCTGAGCCAGGAAGGAGGCATCCATTGGGGTCGGCCCCAGACTGTGGGTCAGGATGGGCCCACCAGCCTTGAGAGTCTGGGCCCCTGGATTGGGAAGGCTTCATCCCTCAGAATGTCCTGTGCTGGGGTGCCAGGAACCTGGGGAGAGAGGGATGAGAACGTGGTGCACAAACGCCGCCCCTTCCCCCCCCAGTACCGCTGACTCCAACCCCTCCTGCCCTCCATTTCCTGACTCTAGCCTCTTTGCTGGGGTCTGGGCTCCCTTTGTGAATCTGTCAGTATCACGGTTGGAGGCCCTATTTTCCCAGGGCTGGGAGGCCCCTCCTTCCTGCCCCTTTGCTGGACAGTTTCTGTTCAGGCACACCGCAAGACCCGGGGTGGTCTGGGACTCGGTCAGCGAGGCCTGGTGCCTCCTCAGGACAGAGGGCAATCGGGACGTGACAGGGCAGCCTCACGGCGATGGGGCCCTATGCTTAGAGGACAGCAGTGGCTGTCTCTAAGGGGATCAGTGAGGGGTCAGCAGGTGACATGCACCACGGTCCTCAGAGATGGGGTGCAGCACGCAGCAGGGCACGGGCTGGTACACCACGGGCACTCGAGCAGGCTAGGAGGCATCAAGGTACCTGCAGCTTTGGGACTTCTCTTAGGAAGATGAGGGTTTGCACAGGTCGGGGTGTTTGAGGAGGGCCCTGGCATCTGTCAGAGCATCAAAACTGAGTCTGCCCATCAGAGTGTCTGCAGCTGCAGCCCAAGCGCACTGGGCCTGTGTGCCCCCCACAGTCGGGCCTGTGTGCCGCCCGCAGTCAGCCCTGTGAGCCTGGCGGGCTGCCAGTAGTGCCAGGGTAACAATGGTCTTGTGGAGGATGAAGGTGACATTTCAGAAGAACGTGTGAGCAGCAGGACCTGGCAGGGGCGAGAGTAAGCCAGCTGGTGGCAGGGGGGTTTGCAGGGCAGCCCTGAACACTGGGCATTTCTGACTTGCCAGCCCAGGGGGCCAGTCCACTTCCGTGCTGGACATAGGGCGCCCTCTGCTGGTAATGTCCAGAAGCTCAGCGCCTTTGTATGGGAAAGGTTGGCTGTCCTGCCGCCTCTCCACCACTCACACAGGGTCCCTTGGTCCCCGCCCCCCGGCTGGTAGACCGTCTGCTGTCCCTGCCGAGGAGGCTGCCATCCATTCATCCCTGAGGACCTTGGTGTCCCAGGACCCTGCCTAGACGTGTTCCCTGATGTAGACCCAGCAGACAGAGTATCTCTGGGGTCTCCAGCACCGTATGGGACGTTTCTCCAGGTGTACATCTTTCTCACCTCCCAAGGGTGCCGACGTCAGGGGGCGACTATAAGTGCCGGCACATCATGGCCCTGGCACGCTGCCGCCTTCCAGCCTTTCGACTTTCCATCCCATGGGCTCCAGTGGCCCCTGTTCAAGTCAGCTGTCTGGGGCCCGGGGCTGGCGGACCACTGTGAGCCAAGCCGCGTGCCATAGTGATGCCTTTGCCTCTGGGGGGGTGTGGGCCCAGGCTCTGCTGCCCGCAGCTCCTGCAGAAGGCGTAGGAGAGTTCAGGGGGCCCGAGGCCCCTGAGAGGACATTGAGGCTGCAGGCAGTGGACCTGCTGAAGGCCGGGGGTGGGGAGGTGGGGGGCTAGCGCGCCCTCCGCAGGGGAGACCTGTGCATCTTTGCCTGCTCTGGGATGTGTCCCTGATCCTCCGGACCCTTCCCTGGCCATCACGGTGAGGGGCGGGGAGTTGGCCTCTCTGGGGGGGCCTTCCCTGAGGCCAGGCTGGCCAGACGCCCACTGAGCTCCTGGGCCCCCTGGGTTTAGCAGCCCCCAAAGGCAGGCTGCAGAGCATCCATACTTGCTCATTTGCTGTGCTGCCTGGGACGGGTGGTGGACCTCTCTGAGGCTGGCTTCTCATCTGTGAAATGGGCCTTAGTATCTGCCCGTGGGGTGTTGTGGGGATCACATCCAATGGCTGGCTATGTGCTTGCACAGCATGCCTGGAACGGGTGTAGGGAGGGCTTGCTGGGTCAGCCTTTCACCCCATCTCCCTGTCCTCAGTGTGGCACAGCATGGCCCTTAGGAGGTGCTGGACACTGTTGGTTGGAGGAATTACTGACTTACCTCCATGTGCCCATCCAGCACCCTGTGGAGCTGTGTGAGCCGAGGTAATCCCTTGTCTTTCGGGTGAAGCACCCAGTACAGAAGTGCATGGCTTGCTAGGGGCTAGTGCCTCCCGCCTCTGCTCACTCCAGGTGCCCAGTAGGCCCTGGGGAGGCCACCTCGGGCTCAGGCTGCAGATGTCCCAGCATCCTGTGTCAGTGGGCACCCTGCCTGGCCTCCCGCCGCCCTCGGAACCAGGCCTGGCCCCCTTACACACCCCCTCCCCGTGCACCAGGTGCCCTGTCCGTGCCCAGAGTGCTGCACTCTTCCTGAGGGCCTGCACCATGGCGGTCCCTCTGGGGGAGTGTTCCCTGCATCATGTGGCTGGCCTCGTGCCCACTCTGGGTATCCATTTGCTGCCCTGGAGAGGCCTGGCCTCGCTGCTGAGAGGTGCTCCCTCCATCGTTGTCACAGCAGACTGTTGACTTGGCTGTAACAGGTCCCTCCCTGGCATTCAGACTGATGGCTGTCACCCCTTCCAGTCGTCCTCTACCACAGGCCAGGCACCCAGGAGGGGCTGGAGGAGTGTGTGCAGCACATGCACTTGCTGGGATGAGGGAACACCCCAGAAACTGGGTCTGAGGGTTGGAGGTGCAAGGAGAAGAGGCCACCCACACCCCCAGTGGCCCACTACCCTGACCTGAGCCCCCGTCCCCCTCCTCACCCACAGCACCGGCAGCTGCTGAAGGACAGCTTCATGGTGGAGCTGGTGGAGGGGGCCCGCAAGCTGCGCCACGTCTTCCTGTTCACCGACCTGCTCCTCTGCACCAAGCTCAAGAAGCAGAGCGGAGGGTGAGTGTCCTGCAGCCCGTCCTGCTGGCAAGGGAGGGTCTCTGGGAGGCTCGGGGTCAGTTTTGTATATGGAGGAAACATAGCTCTTTAAAGACCTTTCGACATGGGCCTGGAGGGCTAGGTAACTGTGCGGCCAGGCTGCTCTCAGTTAACTTACATTCCGTTTCCAGCTGGGTGTAATGCTGGGCTCAAGGTCAAAGGTCATCTCTAACAATCTAGATATGTTCCAGGTCGGGGTGGGTGACCAGGCAGTTACCCTACAGTGAGAGGGGAACCTGACTATAACCTCAGGTGTTACTGCAGGACTGTCATTCTGTGACCTGGGAAGAGTGAGTGACAGAAGAGGGGGCTGCCAGGTCTAGTGCAGGCTGGCAGGTGGCAGGGTGGGGATGGCTGCCCCTCCCCTGCCCTTGGCAGGTATCACTAGATGATCGCTGCAGTTCGTTTCCCCAAACATGGTGATGGCTCCTGAGTTGTTCTCAGCGTAGGCGTGCAGAACCCCCACAGCCCCTCCCAGGGACCAGACCTCCCAGGTTGCATGGGCTGGAATGGAGGAAAGAAGGTCACGTTGGGAAGGACCAGAACTGGGCCCTTCCCCCCATTCTGCCATCATCATACTTAGTGGATTTAATGAACTCAGAAGAGAGCCTCGATTTCCCCAAGGCAGGGAATTACACATGGTAGATCGGCTGCTCCTCGTACTCTGCAGCTCTGGGGTACTGCAGTCCTGCCATTGGTGCCTCGGTGTGCCCCATGTCAGGGAGCCCATGAGCTGCCACCATCGGCACAGGGTAAGATTGATCGGGGTTGGTCAGACCCCTCCGGGCCGGATCACACATGCGGGGGGCGGGTCCCCAGGAATCACAGAGCCTGGTTTGTCAGGGTCTGCCAATGGCCTCCTCCCAGCCTGTTACATGGACCATGTGCTGGGTTTTAAAGTCATGCAAACTGTGCAAGCCACAAACAGTTTTCTGGCTCTTGAAAGCAGTGCTGTTAGCAAAGAAAGTCAGCCAGTATGCTAACGTGCTTTTTCCCCTTCCCAGCAAAACCCAACAATATGACTGCAAGTGGTACATCCCTCTCACGGACCTCAGCTTCCAGACGGTGGACGAGTCAGAGGCGGTCCCCAACATCCCCCTGGTACTGGACGAGGAGCTGGATGCCATGAAGATCAAGATCTCTCACATCAAGAACGACATCCAGAGAGAGAAGGTGGGGCCCACTGGGTGGGAGCAAGGGGGGTTCTGTGGCTCGAGTGGGCAGCAGCCCCTTGCCCACAGGCCAGTGGGTGAGCTCTGCTGTGCAAGATCCCCCACTTCCAGGACCCCTGTGGGCCCTTGGAGCAGTGGGCATCCTGTCAGGAGCCTCCTGGGACACAGGGTTGGGGAGGTGCCCAGCTGCCCTGACGGAGCCCCAGGAGGGAGCATGCACCCCTGGGGGGTTCTGGACTGCCCCGGCTTGCTTCCGGAGAGGTTGAGAAGACTTGAGGGGCTCCTCCCTCCTGTGTAGGGTCCTCCTGAGCCAGAGCAGGGGCTGTGCAGTGGCACAGATGGGTTGGGCCTCAGTCCAGGGACACCCAGCTGAGGTGGATGCAGCAGGACGGGTCATCCTGAGCCCTCACCCGCCTGCTGTCCTACTGCGCCACAGGCCCAGTAGGCTGGGGAAAGCGCCGGGAGACCTGTGTGACTGCGAGGTGGTTTATTCATCCAGATGGGGCTGTGACCTCCGCAGCCAGGTGTCCTGGAGCAGACGGCAAGCCCGGGCTCTGTCCTCCAGCTCTCGAGCCCTGTGCCTGGCCACCGCTGCTGTCGTCCACGCTGTGCCCGTCATTTAGTGGCAGGCAGCGTGGTCTCCTCCCTCAGGTGGAGGGGCTTCAGGAGGGAGGCACACAGCCCGTGGCTGGGAGGGTTTTCCTGACCAGGCCCCAGGGATGTGTCTAGCCCTCCATCAGGACCCTCACATACACTCTGGGGAGGCCTGACACTGAAGTGTGGTCAGACCCAGGAAGGCAAAGGGGCCCTCGGGGGCACCGTGGCCCCCTGGATATTGTCCAAGTTTGGAGGGATCAAAAGAAGGGAGTTTGGAAGGTGCCTTCTCTGCCCTCATGAGGAGGACTGTGATTCCTTCAGGAAGCATTGATTGAGCATGCCTGGCAGCCCGTGCTGGGCCTCGCCCTGTGGCCCCTGTCCGCTGACCGAGGCCCGAGCGCTGGGGGCAGTGGGGACTGGCCGAGTGGGCATAGGTGGCACAGGTACAATGAAGTGAAGTGAGTGTGCGGCCTCTCCCCACAGAGAGCAAACAAGGGCAGCAAGGCCATCGAGAGGCTGAAGAAGAAGCTCTCGGAGCAGGAGTCGCTGCTCCTGCTCATGTCCCCCAGCATGGCCTTCAGGGTGCACAACCGCAACGGCAAGGTGAGCACCCGCCGGGTCCCGCCTGGCAGGCCATGGGCCCCTGCTCTCCCAGGCAGACCCACCAGGCCCCCAGCGCCCAGGTGGCCTTTGCAGCGGCAGCCCATTTCTTCTGGAAAGCATCCCCTTGCGAAGAGAGGCTTATCTAGCATGGCAGGCACCAGCACATGGGCCTTTGACCGGCGCGCTTGGGCCACAGCCCCCAGGCTGACTGCTGGGAGTGGGGGGGTCTCCAGGGAGTCTGGGGCAGTGGGGGTGGGGGAGGGCTGGCAAGTTTCTGCAGACTCGGGCCTTTATACAGGGGTGCCATCTGGGAGGGAGCCTTGTAGGCAGGAGAGGTCCTTTCCCTCCCGGGTCTGGCTCCTAGTGCCCTGGCAGCCTGGGACTCTCCCTCCACGGGTGTCAGACACACCTGTCAGCCTGCAGCTGGGAGAGCCAGCAGGTAAGCTGTCTAGGACCCTTGTCTCGGGGTCACGGCTCAGGGCTTACGGGTTGGACACAGGTGGTCAGGGCAGCATCAGCCCTCACCTCTGCAGATCCCACCTGGTAACCTCCCTGGCCCTGAGCTACAACACTCCGCGCTCTGACCCAGGCAGTCCAGGCGAGAGCTGGTGCCAGAGGCGGGCCTGCAGAGGGCGCGGGAGCTGTGGCCCAAAGCCCAGCTGGCGGGAGGGCCGGGGAGTCCCAGAAGCGATGGGCCGTGCCGTGAGCCCCACCGGCCCCAGGCTGGACCAGGGTGCGTGTGCCTTGTGGGGGTGCCCCAGAGGACTCCACACAGATGGCGGCCAGAGCACTGCCTCAGCTGGAGCAGAGATAACTGGGCTGTGTCCTCGCCTTCCTAGAGTTACACATTCCTGATTTCATCTGACTACGAGCGTGCCGAGTGGAGGGAGACCATCCGGGAGCAGCAGAAGAAGTGTAAGTGGCTCTGCCCGGTAGGCCCTCTGCTCCGGGACCTTGGGGTGGATGCTGCGCTCCTCCTGTGGTTTCCGACCTTTCGGTTCCCCAAGGCGGCTGCGCGTGGGGCTTTGCTCCAAGTGAATGTTCTGTGGAGCTCTGACAGGAAACCATTGGAGAGTTGGTGTCCTGCTAGGGCCCCATGCCCTCCGTGCTTCCAGGCCTCCCCCGCATCCCCTGTGTGCCACCCCACTGACCCTCTGCCCTCCTCTAGGAGCCCTTCCCTCTCTCCCAAGCCTCCCCTGGATTCCCAGCCTGCCCCCTGGGGCCACCTTACACCCTTGCTGCCTTCCCCTGGGCCTGCCCCCCACACACAGCTCACCCCCCTTGCCTGCCCGTCCAGGCCTGCCCCACACCCCAGCAGGTGCTGATGCCAAAGGGCCCTTGACTGAGCCCCCCCTGGACAGCCAAGCTGCTGGCCCCACTCCCCTGTCTCTGTGGCCTCCCCATGACACTCTCAGGGCAGGGCGCTCACTCCCCTTGAACAGCCGAGCCCCTCTGCTGGGTGCTTCTCTCTGTGCACAGTTTTTTCCCGCCCAGCTCAGAGCTGCCCCTGTGCTGCATGGCAGTCTTCATGGGTAGGAAGCAGACCCACCCCAAGTCCTGGGGCTATAGCTGCCTGGTTCCCTGCTCTGCCCCCGAGCCGTATGGTTTGGGACTCCTGAGCTGTCCTGGCTAAGTGGCTCCCACCTGCTCTCTCTGTGTGCCACTGTCCCACTTGCAGGGGCACCTGGCTGAGCACTGACTGTGTCCAGGGTGGGCTGGGGCTCCACGTGCCTGCCCTGTGCTGATCCGTGCCCCTCCCCGCCTCCCTGCAGTGCCCCTGCGTCCTGGGGAACAAGGCACTCCTGGCAGCTCTGGTGGCTGCTTCCCGCAGCCCTGCCTGTGCTCGGTCCCCAGGGCACCCAGACCACTTGCAGAGTGGCGGCATCTTCCCTGCTCAGCATTGTACAGAAATAAGCCCCTTTCCTCGCCAGGGGAGAGATGGGGCCCGCATTAGCAGGGTAGGGGGCAGAGCTGTGCTGGGTGTCCGGGGACACCCTACGGGAAGATGCTCCAGGCGGCCCTCTCACACTTGCCGTATGGCTGTGCTTGGGTTGCAGGCAGATACCTATGTTTCTAAGCATTATGCTGATTCTTCTCATCCTCTGGGGCTTCTGGGGCCACACATCACTCTGCCACTTACTGCTGCTCGCTGGGGCATGGTGAGGGTCCAGTGTGGGGACCTAGGAGTAGTGCCCTCTGGGTGTCCCGGGAGGTCTGAGAGCCCTGTAGACAGACCGGCTGGCTGATGCACCCATGCTCCCCCGTCTCAGGCTTCAAAAGCTTCTCGCTGACGTCCGTGGAGCTGCAGATGCTGACCAACTCGTGTGTCAAGCTCCAGACTGTTCACAGTATTCCACTGACCACCAACAAGGAAGGTGGGCCGCCCTGCAGAGGCCACCGCCCCTCCCATGACGGCGCTGTCCTTGGGGCCGTGTGTGTGCCGTTTGGGCCTGTCGGCCCCTTCCAGGGGTGGCGGGATGGGTTAGGGGTGGTGTCTCCCCAGCTGCTGGCTGCTTAAGGCGACCGATGGCTTTGTCCCTGGTCACAAGGCACTCCTCAGACCTTCCCTGCCCTGGGTCTCATCCTGCCCCTCTGTCCCCACTAGCCAGGTGCTTCCCTCCCACATACTCTGTCATGCTGCATTTTGCGTACACTCTGGCATACACGCACGCTCCTTGACACAGGTACATGCTTGTATACGCATGTGCACGTGTACCCACGTTGCTCACTACCCCGACCCCTCGCCTGTCCTGGGAACATTACTACATCTTGTCTCAGTCACTGGTCAACCTGTGCTGTGACCCCAACTTAGATCCTAAGGTCCTTGAGCCATAGGCCACAATGGGTTTGTTCCTGGCTCATGACGTCATCCTGCCCCTTGCCAATGACAGTCACATGGTGACCCCTTGAGGGTCGATTTTGAAGCAGAGCTTGTCACCTGCCTCCCCTCTCAGAACAGACGCTCACTTCTCGTCTCTTGCACAGATGACGAATCTCCCGGGCTCTCCGGGTTCCTGAATGTCATCGTCCACTCCGCTACTGGCTTTACGCAGAGTTCACGTAAGTGGCTGGTTTGCGGAGGGAGGTGTCAGGGCACTGAGCCAGAGGGCATGGGTGCCAGGGGCTGGCCCCCTTTACCAGCAGGCATCATTGAGGTGCTGGTGCTGGTTGATGCCCAGAGGGACCTGCCATTTCTGTGCCTTCCTCAGGTCCTGCGAGCCAGTGAGCTGCCCTGTGCAGCCGTGTCCTGTAATCACAGGTGCCACAGTTTGCAGACAGAAAATATGGCCTAGGTTCCAAGCTAGGGGGGCCATGGCACCTTGACCCCATCAGCAAAGTAGATTTGGCTGCTCTGACGAGCTGGATGGATACCCTCTTCCTCCTTTCCCTTTGGAGGGGTCCCCCATCTACTCGAGCTGTCAGCGCAGTGAGGGCTGGCTGATTTCAGTCCGGGAGGAGTGCTGCACACCTCAGCGTGGCTCCACGCAGGCCCTCAGGGCCCCTTGGAGGGTCCAGGACGTAGGGAAGGCTCCGTTTTGCCGGCCTTTCCTGCTATTGCTGCAGAACAAAACGAGAATCCCCGAACAAGCCACAGAAGAAAAGGTTATTACCTACAAACCATCCATATGCCATAAGGGACGTGTGCCCAGGATGTATAGAGAATTCACAGAATTCAATACTAAAGAGAAAACCCAATAAAAAAAATTAAGCAAGAGATGTTCGTTGACCTTCCCCAAGGACATCCAAATAGCTAGTAAGCACAGGAAGAGACGCTCAATTAAAACTGCAGTGCGGTGCCACCTCACACCCACCGGGATGGCAGTAGTCAGAAGGATTCCCAGCGGTGGATGCTGGCTGGGAAGTGGGGAGAACTGGGCCCTCAGACACTGCTGGCGGGAATGCAGAGCAGCTCAGCCACCCTGGAAGACACTTTCTTGGATTCTTAAAGTTAAACACACCCCTGCCCTGTGACCCAGCAGCCTCTCAAGTATTTACTTGAGGAAATGAAAACATATGTCCACATAAAGACCTGGACATGAATGATAAACAAAGCATGGTTTATCCGTGTATGGACCAGCACTTGGCAATGAAAGGAGCTGCTGATACAGGCAGCAGCATGAATGAGCCTGAAAAGAGTTAGTGCTAAACAAAAGACCAGATGCAGACGACTACTTGTATATGAAATTTTTAGAAAAGGCAAAATGTGGAGACAGAAAGCCTATTCATGGTGGTCTGGGACGTGGGATGGGAGAAGTGACATCATTTGAACCCAAGGGGGCTTTTGGGGTGGGGGCAGAGTCCTGAAATGACCGTGGTGCAGTTCGCACAAGTGTGTGAATTCACCAAAAATCCTCTAACTTAAAACGGATGGCTTTTATGGCAGGCAGGTTGTACCTCGATAAAGCTGTCAAATGTCCGTTATTGTTCCCCAGGGCCCCTTTCTCTGTTAAGGCAGCCCCACAAATGCTGGTATTTTGGGGGCTTCCGCCTGGGCCTTCCTCCCTCGCTGCAGCTCCTTCCTGCTCCAGGGATCCTCCCGTCAGCAAGGCGGATGACGCCTGGCGCGACCTCCCCAGCCCTACTTATCTCTCCTGGCCTCCCTCTGTTGCCTTTCCATTTGTCTTCTCAACGACCCACGTTCTAGACTCCCCATGCCCAAATGGAACCTATCCCTGTGACCCCCAAACTTGTTCCTCGTATTTCATGTCCTGCTCATCCTGTGGCCAGGCTGGAAGCCACTGTCCAGGTCACAGGTGATATCAGTGACATGCCATTCTCCAGTGGAGTGTCTTCATTGCTCTGGCCACCTGCCCTGGCCTTCTCCCTGGTCTCTACCACCAGGCCTCGCCGCCCTCTGCTCACCCTGCACCCCACGACCTGCCTAGTCCTGAGCTGCTCTCGGTGCCTGGCACTGGTCTGCACCCTTCCCTGATAACCTGGTAAACTCACAGTGGGTCTGCGCAGGTTGTAGGCAGTTCCCTGGCCCCCTGGTGTGTCCCCCTGGAGGTGATGGCACATTTTCCCAGCCGTAGGGTCCTGAGCCCACAGAGGCTTGAGCTCACGTGGGGTTTGCCAGTGACTGCGTGACAGGTGTCCTGAGAGGCCCCGGTTCCCACTGCACTGCAGGCAGTCATTGCCGGAGGTGTCAGTGTGCGTGCTGGTCGCTGGTTTGGTGTTTACTTCCAAAAAGAAAAGACCATTTTCTTTCTTGTTTTGGAAATATCACGTGGGTAGTGTGGAAAAGCATGGTCACCCCCTGCATCTCCCTCCCGCAGATCTGTACTGCACCCTGGAAGTGGATTCCTTTGGGTATTTCGTGAATAAAGCCAAGACACGCGTCTACAGAGACACGACTGCGCCAAACTGGAATGAGGTGAGGCTTCCGGGCAAGTCTCGCCTGCCAGCCAGCCAGGATATGGTCCATGGAGTCTGGGAGCCTGAGCCCCTAGGGGCTTCCGGATGGCTTCCCCCGAAGGTGAAGCCGAGGCATTCCACCAGCACTCCAGGAATCTCCTGGGGCAGGGAAGGGGAGGATGTGTCCGAGAGATTTTATCTCCCTGTTCCTGAGAATCGTACTCCCCACCACCACCTATCACATAGAAACCACCTGTATTGCCAGAGAAGTGTGTTCAGGAAAAGAACTTAACAGGGCTTTTGTGCCGCCTTTGTTATTGCTTTGCGTTTACTTGGAAGGTTTCCATAGCGTGTTTCCTCATAAGTTGGAATGAGCTCACCCTCTTGGTTGCTGGAAACCAGGCCCTCTGCTCCCGGGGGCTGGGGACCCAAAGGCCCTGCTCTCTGGCCTCACTGGGCTGAAGGCTCCTGTGTGCTTGTCCCTGGTGTTGGTTTTCTAGTTTGCTGCTCGGTTTTTCTCCACCTTGGAGAACTGCCCGCATACCGTCTGGCTTTGGGCCTTCAGGAGCCGGGGGTAATTGCAGAGTGGCCAGTATCCATGAGGTCCCCGGATCTGTGAGAATGCCCTCTCCCAGCCTGGAGCAGTGCAGCCCTCAAGGGAGGTGGGCCACGGCAGCTGGGCTGCAGAGCGCCGCCACAGCCCACTCCTGCCGAGGAGGAAGCTAAGGCCCAGCGGACTGCCTGGCCCCCCTTGGGTTGTGTTGCTGGCGGAACAGTGAGGCCAGAACCCAGGTCTCGGCACCCCCTGCTCTGATCTGCGGCCCTGGGACACTGGGAGTCCGGTCGTCATAGCTCTGGGTGTCCCTGCAGAAGGGCTGCTGTGAGAAAGGGGAGATCAGAGCCAGTGGATCCATCAAAGGCTTTTCAGAGCGAGAGACCACGAGGCAGGGGTTCCAGACACTGTGCAGTGTTTTCGTTGTGAGCCAGAGCTGGAGGTTCACGGAACATTCTGGAGCAGCAAGTCACCTGGCAGCTGCCTTGGCTGTGCGTCTGGATCGTCCAGGGGCCTACATGTCCCTGGCATGCACACCCTCCCCACCCCCATTCAGACTCAGAAATGTCTGCTTTTCTCTTTCCCCCTCACCCTCTTCCATTTCCCTGCCAGGAACCCGTGCCGAGGAAGCATTGGTGGGACACAGAATTTGCTGAAGCTGTTGTGGGTGGAGGAGGAGGCTGGGGCCACTCCCCACAGCAGGCAACGCCAGAGCCTGTGGGGGGCTGTTCCTCCTCCAAGGCCTCTCTCTCTCCTCTGTCACCTCCCCGGATCAGTTATTTATTTCCCTTCAAACAGACATATATTTTTAGAGCAGCTTTAGGTCTGAGCAGAAAGGACAGGTTTCCCATATACCCCGCCATCCCTACACACACACAGCCTCCCCCACTATTGGTGCCCCAGAGTGGGACGCTTGTTACAGTCAGTGGACCTACACTGACACCCCATTATTACCCATATCCACAGCACATCTGCATTTGTGAGCAGCACCCAGGAGCCTCTGGCGCAGGTGGTGGGCGCTGCCCTTTGAGGTGCTGCTCGTGGAGTTTGCGTTAGGTTTGAGAGGCATCAGAGCTTCCGAAGCACGCAGACTGGGCCCCCGCGCAGTGCTCACAGGAAAGTAGTTTCTGAGGGTCTGTGTTGCAGGACGTAAACGAGGAGGTCCCCCTGGGGCAGCAAGGAGGCCGTCGTTGAGCCACGGAACAGAGGGGGCCCGTTGGGCCACGCACTCAGGCCTGCCTGGTAACGCCCCTTGTCCCTGGGGCTGCAGGAGTTTGAGATCGAGCTGGAAGGCTCCCAGACCCTGAGGATCCTGTGCTATGAGAAGTGTTACAACAGAGCCAGGATCACCAAGGAGGACGGCGAGAGCACAGACCGGATCGTGGGGAAGGGCCAGGTCCAGGTGAGGCCCTCCCCCACCCCTGCCCCCGCCAACACACCCTCATGCCCCTGCCCCTGCCTCCCCTCATGCCCCCCGCCCAGATTGCCCTGTTCTTCCCCAGTGACGCCCAGAGGCCCTGAGATGGCCTGCGGTGGGGGACCCTGGGCTCGCAGAGGGGGCAGGCCCAGCCCAGACCCGCGCCGCGGGGACCCGGGGCCAGTGCCTTCGTGGGCCCTTTCCCGCCCCTCTCTCTGAGTGTTGTGCCCTGTCTTGTCCTATAAGAATTCCAGTTCAACTTGTCTTTCCAGCGGGCGCCCCAGTTCTTCATGGCCTCAGGGAAGCCCAGAGGCAGAACAGTGAGGCGAGGCCTCACCTGGGCCGCCATTACGAGGCCGCTTCTTGTAAAAGCCCGAGTCTCAGGGCCCACCTGTTGGACATCCCCTCTCTAGCCTCTAGATCCAGTTACAAGGGGGTGCGGCTGCATCCCTGAATGGGGTGGGCATAGATCCCCCCAGGATTCGGCATAGAACACGCTGGTGGGCACGTGCCCACAAAGGCCCAGCACGGGATCCCCGGGTCCTCAGGCCAGGAGGCCCTCGGTTCTTCGTAGTTTGCCTGGGCCCTGGAGGCCACCCCAGCTTTTACGTGCCTTGGCAGTTGGCAGCTGTGCCGCCGGCCTTGTGTGTATTGTAGCTGCACTCACGCTCTTCTGCACCCCTCTTAGGGAAAGCCCTGGTATCCACTTTCTTTATGGGGCATCTTAACCAGACGCAGCTAAGCAGGTTCCTCCTGCCCTGCCTGGGGGTGGGCACTGACTGCTCCCAATCCCCTAGTACCTACCCTGGGACCCAGGTGAAGCCTGTAGGGGAGTGGGCTGGGCCTCCCAGGTGCCTGGAGGGGGACAGGGCTCTCCAAGAAGCCCCACCTCCCTTCCCAGAGGGCAGGAAGTAAAAATCCTTTTGTGGTGAAACACTGAGCAGCAGGAAAGGTCGGAGGCAGGGTGACGCCCCCTTGAGCGCCTGTCTTTGCGGGAGGGCCGTGTGCTCACCACGCAGACAAGCAAGGCCTCAGTCAGCAATGGCTCCAGGCCCGCTGTGGTTCACCAAGTTTTTGGGAGACGCGCGCTGCCTCTTGTCCCACCTCGGAAGCTTGTTAGAGGACTCAGTGGCTCAGGGCCTCCAGGGCCCACCCTGTACCTTGAGACCAGGTCTAAGAGCAAAAATGCTCTCTGGTGGCCCTATTCCTGCCCCCGCCCCCCCACCAGCAGGCCCCACCCACACAGGGAAGTACAAAGACACTGAAAGAAAGCAGGTGAAATCCCTCTCACCCTGCGTCTCCGAGGGCAGCCGGCCTACAGCCTTGGCCGACCCCACAGACTAGACCCTCTAAGCGGGGCAGCCTGTCACCTGGACCTGAGTCCTACCTGTGGCCCAGTCTTGGCAAGAAGGGCACGGCCCCTCCTTGCTCCCGTCAGCCTGATGTACCATTGGGCCAGTTGTAGGGTCTTAGTAGCACAGGGCTTCAGGCTGCAGGCCAGTGTTAGTCACCCCACCCCTGGGGTCCTGGCCAGGAGCCTGTGACCAGCCGGGTCCTTACCTCCACCACCAGAGTACCCCCTTGACAGATGTGTGTGCTTACTGCATAGTCTGTCCGACAGTCTGAGGGTGCCAGGTGAGCACCCTACCCTGCCCCGTCCCAGGGGAGAGAGCAGCAATGTGGGGGCCAGCGAGGGACATCTGTTTGAGTTCCTGGCTGTTTGCTGTCTCTTCCCACCGCCAGATCGCAGTCTGCATTTCCCCACCACGTCCCTGGGGAGTTGTCCTCCGGCAAGCTCTACCTTGCTGGGCCTCCTAGGAGGACCCAGTCTCGGGCCGGGATAGGGATGGAGGACACGGACTCTGCTAAAAAAAAAAATTTCCAGTGCTCTCTTTCCGGTGGCGAGGCCAGCTGCGCTCAGGGGGACTGTCAACCTGGGTGTAGGGCCGCTGCAGTGGAACCTGTAGCGGGGCGAGAAGGACCGGAACTCAATGCTGAACACGACCGGGAGACGTGGGAAGGTGTAGCAGGCTGGGGGGTGTCACTGGATGAGTTACTTAGAGGAAACGTCACGAGTCTGAACCAGCCTAACGGGAGTCTTGAAGGCAGGCCGAGGCACTCAGACATCACCTGGGGGCAGTGGGGGATGAGGAATGTGGCTACATGTCAGAGAATCAGCTATCAAGGATGGGGGAATCTTGCTAACTGACTTAGCAGGATTCTTGGTGAAGTTGGGCTCTTGGGTACCTGCCTGCGGGTGAGGCCTAGTTGGAAAAACAGCTCGGAGGAGCCTCTGAGTTTGGTCAAGGGGAGACTGTCGGCTCCCTCGGCCCCACCCCCACCACAGCTCCGGCGATGGGGTGAGTCCTCCCTCGGCCTGTCTAAACATGTTTCCCCACGTGTGAGCGGGCGGGGGTCGTGCAGCCGTGCGGGCCTTCGGGGTCGGCTGCCGCCCTCCGGATTGTTTGCCATCGTGCTGTTGGGGAGAGTGTGGGCTCTGGCCCCACCCCCATGTCTGTCTCTCCTTGAGTGGGAGGCCTGGCCCTGCGCCGGCATTAGCTGGGAAGGAATCCCAGCACTGCGGCGGGCATTTGTGAGTCACCCCGAGTGGGCAGCGCTGGGCTGTCCCCTGGAGACCCTGGGCTCCTGGAGGGGCTTGCTTATGAACCGGGATCCACAGGAGGAGAAGGAAGTCGGAGCCGCGGGGACACCCTGCTATGCCAGCCAGGCCTCTTCCCATCCCTGGCCCCCAGGGACACTTTTCTGTGTGGGGTACACAGGGAGAGGGGACGTCCATGACTTGGGGTTCCCACCATCCCACCCACTTTGCCTCATAATATCAACCACCTTCCAGCATGCCCTGTGGGAGGGGCATGTGGCCCTGTGGATCCTGCTGCTGGAAGTGGGGGGATAATGTGGCCCCTGCTACACACCAGGCACCCCCTACCCCATACATACCTTCACTCACACGTTGAGTAGGGGGCCCTAACTTCCAGTGAGGTGGGAAGGGCAGCCCCCAGGTGTGGGCGGCCAGGGAGAGATCTAGAGTTAGCCAGGAGGACTGGGCAGGTCCCCAGGCACCCTGAGAAGGAGACCAGGGGTGGAGGTCAAACCCAAGCTGCTCACATGCCTGTCTGGGGCCCTGGGGCCCAGTCTCATCAGAATCATCTGGGTCCTGGGGCCCAATCTCATCAGAATCATCTGGGGCCCAGTCTCCCATGCCTGGGCCCTGGGGCCGTCTGGTTTTACTCCCCTGCATGGTGCTGGTGAGCTGAGTGCTCAGGAGCCTCCAGGCTCAGGTTGCAGGCCTTGCTCTGCAGGTGCCTTGCCAGGGGCCCACCTCCTCCCCCAAAAGATGGGAGTTCTGTGAGAGGAGGGTGGAGGGCTCTACCTGCAGAAGTCAGGGCAGTGAGCTGGTCTTTTCAGAGCGTCAGGACACAGGAGTCCAAGCCCTCTGGGCAGACAGGTGCAGAGGTCCCGGGGAGGGGCCCCCATGGAAAAGCAGGGTCACCCAGTCCACGCCCAGACACCAGGAGCCCACCGCGCCACCCTGGGGACTGCCTGGGGCACCCAGGCATCACCGTCCGGAGCAGAGAGGCTTGGAAGGGAGGCCACTGTGGGTGCAGTGAGAGCCGGGCGGGGCACGTCCCGCCCTAGGGCAGCCAGGGGGCTTGGATGGCACGGCTGTTTGAGGGGAGTCAGGACAGAGAGGCCTTCACAGAGTTGGGATCCCTGAGGCCAAGGCTTCAGGGGAGGATTTTCCTAGATGGCGGTGTCAGCGTCCTATGCTCCAGGGACAGGAGGGGCACAGGATCCATGCAAGTGTGTGGGTTGTGGTGAAGCTGGAGGGCTGGGCAGAGGTGTCCAGCCTACTAATGGCCTGACCGGGTCCTCCTGGGGCAGGACTGGGGCCTCCCCCAGTGCCCCGGCATGTCTCGGGCCAGGGTCGGCAAAGCCTAGCAGCACTGAAGCCTCGTAGCTGTTTGGGTTTCTCCTTCAGTCTTTTCTGCTCTCTTCTGCATTTGCAAATTTTCTACGTTGACTAAATCCCCTCAGCCCCGGGTTTCTTCTGCTTAACAAGTACCTTTGTATTCTAGAATTTTGTCTTCTCCCATTTCTCCTGCTTAAGTGCCTACCTGGACTCACAACTCAAATTCCAATGGGGGCAGCAGAGCTTATTTTGTTTAATATTTTACGTGAGTCTCGAATGAGATGGGCCTCAGGTCTCCAGTCTGACCCCTGCTTCATTCAGAGCTGGCACTCGGGACTGGCTTGTGTGGTTTCCCAAATTCCTCCACTGGCCCGGGTTGCTGGCTTCACATGTAGAAACCTGGCTGGATACAGCCCAGCAGGTACGACTCTGCCCTGTCTAGCGATGCCCTGGCAACAGCACTCCATCCCTTACCGAGCAGTGAGGTCCGCCCTCTCCCTGCTCAGCCACCCATTCTGCGGCACTTGTGCCCATGAGCCCACACCACAGTGCCTGGCAGCAGTGTGAATATGGAGAAACCATCAAGAGTGGAGCACGTATATTCACAGCAGTGCTGAGCAGGACAGCCTCAGGTGGGAAAGAGCCCAGGTGCCCATCTCCTGGTGAGTAGATAAACAAAATGTGGCCCCCCAGACGGTGGCATATTACGCAGCCATAAAAAGGGAAGGACACTGTGACACACACAATATGGATGACCCTTGAAGACACTATGCTCAATGAAATTAACCAGGCACAAAAGGATAAGTACTGCATGATTCTACTTAGATGAAGTACCTAAGATAGGCAAATGCCTAGAATTTGCCAGAGGCATGGTGGGGATGGGGAATTACTGCTTAATGAGTACAGTTTTTCTGTTCGAGATGATGAAGAAATTCTGGAGATGGGTGGCGGTGCTGGTGGTTTTACGACACTGTGGATGTTGTTAATGCCACTGAATCATGCACTTACCCACAGGGTACAGGGATGGACATGGGAGCCGAGACTCGATGAATCGCCCCCTCCATGAGGTCTCCGAGCCCCAGAGGGCACATCTGGCCCTGCTTGCGCAGCGCGCTGGGGAAGCCCTTGGTTCTGCCTCCCCTCCCCCAGCCACGCCCTGGCGCCTCAGCACCCTCACCTGCAAGAGGGCAGGCACCTGGCTCTCAGCAAACCCCAGGGCACGCAGTGAATGCTCACTCTCTGCCAGAATGTGTAGCAGATACATTTGCATTCATATCATAATGCATATATGTCTGGCCATGGAGATGCCACAGTGAATAAAGTAGACAAAAGCCCCGTCTTAAGCGAGCTTACCTTCTGGCAGAGGAGGTGGATCTCCACCAAATTAAAGATGAGGCGTGAAGACCCAGGAAGGAGACGGGGCAGGGGAGGTGTGGCATTTAGTCAGGGGGTGGGGGCAGCACACACTGTCACAAAGGCACCAAAAGGCCCCGCCTCTGTCACAGAGGAGCATCTCAGGGCCAGGCCCACTGCGCCCACAGGCCGTGCGCCCTGCCAGGGCCTCCTGTTGAGGCTGGTAAGGATGCTTTCCTGGCTGCTCTGGGGGTGGCTCAGGGGCGTGAGCAGCAGCAAAGCCAGTGTCACGTCCTAAACACTGCTTTGGAGGTGGCGGGTCCCAGGGGTCTCTTGCACCGGTAGCATAATAGCCATGATGATTATTTTTAACACATCTGAGGAGTTTCAGCTGTAAAAGTTGTCAACATGGAAAACCACAAGAGTAAACCCTTGTGCAGGTTCCCCAGGATGTGTCCTGAGAAAGCAGCATGGCCCCGGGGAGCGAGTGAGGCGATGGGGACCCAGGCCTTCCTTGTCCTATCGCAGACCACTTTGGGACCCTGTATCCTTTTTCTTTAACTGGCATACCATACGTGCATCCATTTCTAGTGCATAATTCAATGAGTTTCAGTGAATTTACAGAGTTGAGTGATTGTCCCTAATAATCCAGTTTTAGAATATTCCCATCATGCCAGGCGATGTCCCTTCCTGTTCCCATCCCCAGACTGACCTGCTTCTTGTCTATAGATTCGCACCTTCTATACATTTCATATGAACAGAATTAAACTGTATTATGCAGTCATTTGAACGGCTTCCTGCACTTCGCATAATGTTTTTGAGGGTCCTCCACGTCACAGCGAGCCTCGGCACTTCGTTCCTCTTTATGGCTGAATCGTGCCCCTTCGTGTGTACTCACATGCTACGTGTGGTTCGCCCACTCACCGGCTGGTGGGCACCTGGGGTGTTTCCAGCTTGGGGCTACTTACAGCTCAGCTGCGGTGAACATGTGCCCCCAGGTAGGTCCTCGTGTGAATGGATATTTTCCCTCTTCCTCCGTGGACAGCTAAGACTGTAAGTGGGGGTTGGGCAGCCGAGCGTGCCTCTGAGGACCTGCCCTGCGTGTCCGGAGCAGCTTCAGCATTTCGCTTCCCCACGGCAGCATGTGGGGCTCCTGTTTGTCCGCATCCGCACCGGCACTTGTTACCACCTATCCTCTCTAGGGCAGCTGTCCTTGGCGGCGTTCCTTTATCTGTTTAGGCAACGCTGGCACCTGGTTGGGATCAGAGAAGGGGAGCAAAGGGCCAAAGGTGTGGGCGGTAGAGCTCAAGAGGGCAGATGGCCGGGCTAGGAGCCGTCGCGGGAGAGCAGATTTCTTTTCCTGGGAGATTCTGTGGCTGTCTTAGAAGGCATGCTCCAGGGGGTGGGTTACAGTGGACACATGGAGCCAGTCAGCTGTGCTGGGGAGGCCCTGCTGGACCTCTCCTGGCCGGTGGCAGTGGGCATGGAGGAAGCTCGCCTATGAGGAGGCGAGGGAGGAGGCACACAGGCAGGCAGACCTTGGGGTAACCATCCCCCGAGCCCTCCGACCACAGTTGTTCCTTCAAGATCTCCACCTTGTCCAGCCCTGGGGGAGACACACAGGGACCCCCATGTTCCTCCTCCGGACAGCGGGTGTGAGCAGACACCCTGGCCCCGGCCCCGGGCAGCAGGCGCATTCCTTGCCGAGACCCCGAGGAGCCCTTGTGGGTATCCAAACCACGCTTGGTTTTTCCCTCGACCGCCATTTCCTGGTTCCCTCAACCTCAGTCTTCTATTTTTAAAAGCCCCGGCCCCCTGCTTGTTGACTTCCCGGTGCTTTAAATAGCCCCGTGAGAGAGCGTGCCAGCCTTAAATGTCTCTTGAGCCTGGACTGAGCCGAGCCACCAGCCTCATCACCGTCTAGCTCTTCGTGCCGCTTCCGCGTCACTCTGCACGCGTGGTTCTTTGGAGCCCAGCCAGCCTGGGGATGGTCTTCCCACTGTTGCTGCCGTGAGGGCCGGGGGCCCTGTGAGGAACCGCACGGCAGCCCTGTGGCATGGCTGCACTGTGGAGGCCAGCCGGTGAAGCCAGGTGGCGGTGGGCGATGGCAGTGAACCCCCTCATCAGTGAGCCGCCGGGTGCTATCTGCCCCGAGTCCACCCAAGGCAGTCGTGCCGTTATTGGGGTCACTGGCTGTGAGAGTTGTGCAGGCCCTGGGGGACGGTGTCCCCAGAGCACATCCAGCCATGAGGCAGGCAAGCAGGGCAGACACGTTACTCAGTGTGTCCAAATACGCCCACAGGAAACTGGCCACTTGAAAAGGAAGCTTGGCTTTTCTGGGCTTTAGGGAAAACCGTGACACGCTGGAGTTCCCGTAACCAGTAGGCTGCTGGCGGGGACAGGGATGTTTTTTTACATATACAGTCAAAAAAGTAGAACCCGTGGGTGATTGGAAGCTTTGACCTTGGGGCTGGGCTTCCTGAGAAGCCTGGACAAAAGGCCGGAGGCCGGGGAGTTCCCTGCACTCCTGTCAGCCGCATCCACTCGAGCAGCAAGGCCAAGATGCGAGATACGCCATCGGCTCCCACCGCCGCACAGGGCCTCCTGCGGTACTTCCACCCGAGCTGGGCAGGCCGGAGCCGGGCGGCCTCTGCCGAAAAGCACCTGTGTGCTCGTGGCATGGCCCTGTGGACGTGCATCCGGAGCCTCACGTGCAAGGGCAAGGTGGGCAGGCGGGTGTGCCAGGGCTTGCAGGGTGGGCCACGTGGGGCTGGGTCCCGCTCGGTGCCTCCACCCGCCCTCCACTCCGTTCCTCTGCTTGTCTGGTACCGCGTCTGGTTCTCAAGGGGAGAGGGACCTGGTGATTACTGTTCTTTGGAGGGAAAGGGAAGGGTGGCTTCTGTCGAAACTGCTTCTGTGTCTCCCTTTTTAAAAACTCCCAGGGTTGTTCAACTCTCCCTTTCCTTGGGAACAGGGGGAACGGCACCTGCCCCTTCCTTCCTGGACAGCCAGGACTCAGGAGTAACGGGCCAGCACTGCATGCCCTTCACCTCCTTCCCCCACACCTGGTCTAGTTGAGAGCCCAGGGCTCTGCTGGCTCCAGGGCACAGAGGTTCTGCCCCATGCCTCCCCTGGAGGAGGCTGTTACCCAGGATTCACTCTGGCAGGGAAGCTCCACTTGGGAGGGTCCCTTTTCTGAGTGATTTGTGACTGACTGGCCCTTGCTCCCAGACCCTGCCCCAGGGCAGGGTTCCTGTGGCCTGGGAACATGACCCCTAAGGACCTGGGACGGATGCGGAATGAGAACCCATGGCCACTGCACACCCCGGAGGCAGACGCTCTGCACCCCTTGTGTCTCTGTGCTGCTGTCTGTCAGACCCTTGGAAATGTTAACCAGGGGGTCCTAGGAGGGGTCCTAGGAGGGGTCCAGCAGTGCCCAGGATGAGCAGGGACAGAGGCTCGGTGCACATGCCCGAGGAAGGGGGACTCCCTTTGCAGCTGCCTCGCCTCTCAGGGCCCTTGGAGTGGGTAAACAAGTGAAGCCTGGCTAGCCGAGTAGCAGAAACGAACCATTCTCCAAGGCAAGTGAAGAAATCGTGAGGCCCAGGATGGAGAGCACTAGGTTATGGGGTGCTGGGCAGTGGCTCCCTGGACTGGCTTCACACGAGACCTGGGGAGGTTTCTAATTTGCACACCCTAGACCCCACTCCGAGCTGCTCGCACAGCTCTGCTGTCGGAACCAAGGAGGTATTTTTTTAACAAGATCTCCCCAGGTGCTTATCGTCCAGGCTGCTGGTATGGAATGTGTGCTCCCCAGGACTGGTGATAGAGCCCTCATGGGTGGGGGACTCACAGCCCAACCATGAAGGTTGGGGTGTCTTACAGCAGCACAGACTGTTAGGTGGCCCTAAGTAGTACAGTCTCTCCAACCAGCACTCAGACAATGTTCTTGTGGGTAGAAATTCGAGGGGCTGCAGAGAGCATTCCTCCAGCCCCTCTTCCTAGCTGTGTGGTTGGGAGCTGGGCTCTGGGTCCTCTGGGCCTGACTCAGCCACAGCACTGGCCTGGACTGGAGAGCCTCCTGCACAGGCCCCTGCAGCCACACCACGGAACACTCTATGGGAGAAAAGAGTTGTGAACTCTTGGATGGCATGCCCCTTGCAAGCTGCCATTGAAATTGGGTTTCCCAAAATGTAATGTGAACCTATGGCTCAGCCTCTACTGAGCTGCATGTAGCGCCTGTGAAGACTGGTGAGGGGGCAGCAGGGTGCAGGGCCCTGAAACGTCACTGACTCATGCCTGGGCCCCAGGCAGCGAAGGTCTGGGAGCCAGGAGAGTTCTGGGCTTTCTAGCAGGGCTTCTCTTTCTGGACCCCTTGGCTTTGTGATAGAGGTGCTGGCCAAGGTCCAGCTCCAATTCTGGCTCAGGTGTGGAGAAGGAACAGGCCTGGGGGCTGCTCAGCAGAGCTCCGCACAGACCCCAGGGCATCTGATCATCACGACTCCTTGCTTTCAGCTGGACCCCCAGGCCCTGCCGGACAGAGACTGGCAGCGGACCGTCATCGCCATGAATGGGGTATGTACCCACGGGGCTCTGCTGGTGCTTCCCCCAGGAAGTTAGGGTGGCCCCGTTCCTTCCAGAACAGTCAGAGGGAGGCTAAGCCTGAGCTAGTGTCAAGGGGAGAATGGCTGGAATGGGAGAAGCCCTGCCGAGCAGAATTGCTCAGTGCGAGAAGTATGGTGACCAGAGTGCAGTCACTGGCCAGACCCTCAGGATCCCTCCTCCGATGATAATCCATTGCTTCCCTAGGATAGGCAGTACCTGACCCGGGGTCTGCCTGTAGAAACTGAGCCCCCTGAATAGCCTTCAGTGCCCTAGAAGGATTTCGACCTTAAAAAAAGAAAAAAAGAAAAAAAAGGAAAACACTACCACACACCAAAAATGGTCTAGGCACATGTGACAGTGTTAACATTTGACAAACAATTTGTAGTTTTTTGTTACATTATTCTCTGTATTTTTTTTATGATGATGATAAGAAAGAAATGGAGGCAGTGGGGACTGTGGAGGGTATTTCTGATTGTTCCTGGCTCTTACTGAGTTGGATGCGGGCTGCCCCATCCCAGGACCTTAGCCAGCCTGCCCCGGGGCTGGAAGGATTTGCGGAGACCCCAGGTCCCTGGGAACTTGGGCTGTAAGGACCAGGAGGATGGGAAAGCCATGCCTCTTATTCCCTCCGCAGATTGAAGTGAAACTCTCAGTCAAGTTCACCAGCAGGGAGTTCAGCTTGAAGCGAATGCCTTCCAGAAAGCAGACGGGCGTCTTTGGAGTCAAGATCGCCGTGGTCACCAAGTGAGTGGCGAGGGGCCTGGTCCCAGCGTCTGTCGTCCCCTGCCTGAGGCTCCCCACCCAGGTGTTCCCGAGAAGAGCAGGTGTGGGTCCTCCTCTGTGCATGGTTGCTACACAGAGACGCTCCCCCACCCCCAAGCCCATGGAGCATCTGCGTGCTTAGCTGCCTCCCGTGTTTACTACGAAACTTGTCCCATCAGCTCAGGAATGTCCTCACCCCCTTCCTGTGTGGGTGGGCTGGCTCCTGGAACTGCGTGGTGGCAGGGTTTTCTTCCCTTGCTCGGAGTTTGTCATGATCAGGGTTCCTGTTGGATGAGAACAATCCCTGTCCTTTGTCGCAGGTCAGTTGCCAGCTCTCATGTCATTTTGAGGGTAGTTCTCGGGGACACAGGCTGTTTCCTCCCAGAATCCATTTCACTTCCCCAGTTTTGGCATCTAGCCAGGCCCTGCCTTTGCTGTCTGCATCGGATGTTCTCCAGATACCAAATTGTGTCTGAACACCACTCCCCTTCCCCACAGTGCCCCTGGACGGCTCTGGGCACGAGCAGAGGGGACACTCAGCAGCAGTCCCAGATACATGCCACTGACGAGGGTGGCCTGGGCCCGAGCTGTGCTGGGCTCCTGAATCCAGATGCTATACCAGCTAACTCTCCAAACAGCTCCATCTCCTGTCTTTGAAGTATTTGTACTCCAGGGTCCTGCCTGGGAGTACTGGGATCATCCATAGTTAAGACAGGGACGAGAAAAGCATTTAAGTCACAAGATTCCAGGGGCCAGTGGTAGGCAGCCCCGTTGAGTCATTCGTCCAGCAGATGCCAGGCTGACTGCTCGCTCTGGCTGGGCTCGCCCCTAGTGGAGGCCCAGAGGTATCAGGATTTGCCACTTGCATAGCAAGTGGGTGGCAGGGTCAAGATGGGTGCCATCCACCCGACTCAGAGACCAGTCAACTGCTCTCCAGGACCCTGTGCAGCCACCTGTTAACCCTGGCCTGGTGATCTTTTATCTAACTTCGTTGTGGCTGAGTCCACTTAGAAAGTCCCCTGACCTTACCCCAAAGGTCATATGGAATTCCCAGGGCTTTCAGCTACCAGGAGCCCTGGTTATAAGCAGTCAGGGTCAGGAGCTCACAGGTGAAGGGAAAACATGCACAAGGCACAAGGCACCAGGCACCAGGCTCCTTCCTTACCGCAAAAACCCTCACCTGTCCGTCCAAGTGTGCAGACCGGTGATGGGTCCAGCCCCACCGTGGCCCAGGTCAGGGCTGCCGGGCACTCAGGGCGTTTCTCTGCCCTCACAGGAGGGAGCGATCCAAGGTGCCCTACATCGTGCGCCAGTGCGTGGAGGAGATCGAGCGCCGGGGCATGGAGGAAGTGGGCATCTACCGTGTGTCTGGAGTGGCCACAGACATCCAGGCGCTGAAGGCTGCCTTTGACGTCAGTGAGTGTCGGCCCAGGCAGTGTGGGATGGAAGTGTGGGCAGGTGTCCGTGCTGAGTCTCTCTGGGCGCCCTCCGGGCCCATACTTGTTAGATGATGCTCTGCGCCATTTCTCCTCTTACTGTTCTGTCACTTTTAAAGTGAGGAGAGAAGGGAGTCAGCTGTTGCACAGAAGCCAGTTCTTAACCTGTCCTGATGTGCGTGCCTGGCTCTTGCTGAGTTGGACCAGGGCTTCCATGCAGGGACTCCACCTTGCACTGGGGCTCAGTCTGCTTGTCCTGTGGGTGATAAAGCAGTGCCAGCCAGAGTCCAGGGGTCAGCGCTGTCTGATGGCCCAGAAGATGGGGAGCTGTCCCAGTTGTCAGATGAGCACACCAGGACCTCAGGGGGCCCTCATGCCTGTAGACTCCGCCCTCCCTGGCTGGACCCCTGGAAGGCCAGCCCCCTGGGTGGGCTGGGCATAGTTCCAGCAGCCTCTGGAGTCGGCCTGGCCTGTGATACGAGGGCTGGTGGCCACCTGAGGCCAAAGGGAAGGCCTGGTTTAAACCCTAAAATGGAACAAGGAATCCCAGTGTCTTCCTGTTCCCAGGCAAGGCCGGTCATGGGTAGTTGCTCAGGGTCACACCTGCCTGGTTCTGTCCAGGCCGCCCTCACCCAGCAGAGGAGGAGGGGCTAGGACTCTCCCCTGTCAGAACAGCCAGGCACTTGGAAGAAGTAAAATGAGCCGCTCACAGGGGGAGTCATCCTGGGGTGAGCCGCGCCCAGGCGCTATGGACCCTCCATGTCCGTGCTGTCCTCAGATAACAAGGACGTGTCAGTGATGATGAGTGAGATGGACGTGAACGCCATCGCCGGGACACTGAAGCTCTACTTCCGAGAACTGCCCGAGCCCCTCTTCACGGACGAGTTCTACCCCAGCTTTGCTGAGGGCATCGGTGAGTGCATCTCCCACTGCCCCTCCTGGCTGCTGGTGCCCTCAGTGGGGTGGCCGGTGGGGAGTCAGCGGCAAGGTGAGAGAACCCCTCGGTGCTCCCACACCATGGTCTGCATTGAAGCCCAAACTCCGAGGATGATGGGGGGACTGAGAACCAAGCCAGTTCTGGAAGCCTATGCCAGTCCTCAGAGGGCTGCCCTGTCCGTACCCTCCAAGTAGCCCAGGAGGGTGAAATGGCCGACACTGCCGTGGACAGGCCTGGATATGGGGTCTGAAGGCTACCGTCCTCCTCACCGGAATGCCTGCCCTGCTGTGCTAACCCCAGGTCCTGGCCCTGTCAAGCGGGGCTTCCAGCCAGTCTGACCTGTGGCGTCCACAGTGGGAGTGCTGGTGTACAGCGCAGCTGCAGCCGCGGAGCCATTCATCAGAGATCCTGGACCCCCCAGGGGCCCGGGGTGATGAGGGGGCTGCCAGGCCTCGCAGCCCCCTGCTCCTCACTTGTGGCTCCATTCCATGCCCTGCTTCTCATGGTCTGGGCTTTGCCGGGCAGCAGGCAAGAGTGGCTGAGCTGGCGGGAGAGCAGTCGTATCCAGCACCCCCTGATATTGGTCCCTATGGTGCCATTGGCCCCTTGAGATACAGAAAAGGTGTTCAGGTTGGCCCACCCCCAACGTCGGCACCCATCCCTGGGTCCTAACCTGGGGCCAGTGCTGTATGGGCCCGGAGGATGACAGCCCTGGACTGTCCTGTGCCCTCTGACAAGGGCCCCAGGCAAGGTGGCCAGCACACAGTTGTGACCCCGTCGCCCCACTGCAGCTCTTTCAGACCCCGTTGCAAAGGAGAGCTGCATGCTGAACTTGCTGCTGTCGCTCCCAGAGGCCAACCTGCTGACCTTCCTCTTCCTGCTGGACCACCTGAAAAGGTAACTCCAGCTCTTCCTCACGGACCGGGAGCTCCAGGACCCCCAGGCAGCAAGGGGGGTGTCCTTCCATGCCCCGCTGGCTCCCGTCAGACTCCATAGCCCCTGCGGCCTTCTGTCCCCACCCCTCTGGGTACTGGAGCCACTGCTACCCTCCTCCTCCTTCACCCTAAGTGAAGAGCGTGGTGCTTCAGCCACCTCCCCTCATCAGGTCTTGTTCCAGAGCTGGCCAGCCACCTGCAGCCTTAAGGGCTCTGTGCTGGGCCTCCGACCAGAAGAACCAGGTTGGGGCTGCTTTCAGCACAACCAGGGCGGGGTGTCTGTGCTGTGGAGCCCGCCCAAGGCAGAAGGGGTGGCACCCACCCCCACCCTGCAGACTCCAGGATGACTCGGACCCCCCGCCTTGGGTCTGTCCTGGAGGCAATTATGCTCTGTTTTGGCCCTCTGCAGGGTGGCAGAAAAGGAGACGGTGAACAAGATGTCCCTGCACAACCTCGCCACGGTCTTCGGCCCCACACTGCTCCGGCCCTCGGAGAAGGAGAGCAAGCTCCCTGCCAACCCCAGCCAGCCCATCTCCATGACCGACAGCTGGTCCCTGGAGGTCATGTCCCAGGTGTGAGCCAGGCCCTGGCCCATGCTGCCCAGCCCCACAGAGACTGCCTCTGCCCACCCTACCCTGCTTCCTGCCAGGAGTTCCCACTGAGCTGTTCAGGGGAGGTGGCCGAGCGTCTGAGAGAGGGACTTGCCAAGGGCCAGGTGGCTGGGAGGGGCAGGAAGGGCCCAGGTCAGTGCTCTTCCTTCTGCCTTACTGGGGCTTCGTAGGGACCCCCAGTCTGGTGTTCTCAGGGGCACCCAGATCTCTTGCCGTGAGAGCTCGTGTCATGCACACTCAGCAACCTGGGCTCGCCTCATGGCCTCAGTAGCCAGACCCTGGGCTCTGGCCAGGAAGACCTCCCACCTGCCGCCGAGAGCACCCGTCCAAGCCTCTCTCCTCCCCGCTCTGCCCCGGCAGGTCCAGGTGCTGCTGTACTTCCTGCAGCTGGAGGCCATCCCTGCCCCAGACAGCAAGAGACAAAGCATCCTATTCTCCACGGAAGTCTAAAGGCCCATCTCCACCTCCGAGAAGCCAACAGAACGGCCTGGAAACCTCCTGGCGAAACGAGCCATCTGCAGAGTAGGGACCAAAGCTTCTTGAGGAGTCACCGGGCTGCCCCAGGGCCCGGCCATCTGCCAAGAGACAACTACCCAAGGCAAAAGGCCATGTGGCCCGGGCAGTTCTGGGCCCCAGCCCCGGAGCCTGCAAGCCGAGCTCTCAGACTGTGGTTTTCCACGCTGCCACCAGAGGGCGCCCCAAGCCAACACGTGTCAGAGTGCCGGCCTGCCGGGGACCTGGCGAAGGGAGTGGTTCTAAGAACATAACTTAATCAGAGTTTAAAAGATTTCTACTGGATCATGCATCAAGATGCCCCCTCTGGGGAGAAGGGAACATGACCAGATTCCCTCACTGTCGTGTCTTGAATAAACACTGCTGCTGCTTCATACCATGAGGGCCATAGCCCGTCCCTGTGTGGGTGGGGGCATTTCAACTTCCCTGACTTAGAATTTGACTCTGTTTGTAACAGGGTTTGAAAAGCTGAGTCAACACTGTGTAGCATTTGACCCCTTTCACCTCCTTCCTGCTCTTTCTTCCTACAAGGATCTTTGTGCAGAAGTGGGTCGGCTTCGTGTTCTGTCCTTTTGCTTTGTTTCTGCCATCCCTGTACCCCTTGGAAGGCAGCCCCCCACGGAGCCTGGCAGCATCCGTGGGCACCAGGGGGAGGGAGGCCCAGGCCGCGCACTTTATGCTTATTCTCCAGTTAGCGTGGCCCATTGCCACCCCGACCGTCTGCTGGGCATGTGCTCTCCTCTGACTTTGGGAGGCCTTGACCTCCCTGGCTTCCTGCAGACTGCCACCCCTCTGCCTGCTCACTCTCTCCCTTCCCCCAGTCGCCCCCACACAGATGGCTTCATTCCCTCGTTCTCTGCTGAACAAACTCAGTAAACTTTTGTAAAAGTTTCCACTGGGCAGCGGCAGCTTGCTGACAGCTTGTTTTAAACTTTGATCCGAATAGCCTTTTGATACTTGAATATTTTAAAGTTTATACATAGTTTCTAATTTTTTTCCTAACAGATTCAGATACCTAATAAGATATTAGAGTGCACTTCATGGACAATCTGTGTCCCAGCCGCATTTTGTCTTCCTCCAGGTGCCAGCGCCGTCAATCCTGGAGCCTCCAGAGTATGGGAATTGTGGGGAGCTAGGAATAGGGGCTGCCCCACACGCCAGGCCCTGGGCTTGGGGGGCGCCCAGCCAGGAGCAGGTGGCAGGACAGGCCAGCTGGCACCTACCCTTCCTGCTGTCCGCATACCTTTGCAGAAGCCAGAACATTCCGGTAACCCTCTGACATAGAGAAAAGAGAATGAGGGAGACCACTGCATAGTTTGAAGGAATTAATCTATGAAAAATGGCATTTTTTTTTAAAGAGGAGATTGGGCAAGGAGAGAAGAAAAGAAACTGAGGAGCAGTCTCCGTGCTGGTCCTGTAGGGAGAGAGGACGTATTGACCTAGAGGAGGGAGGCAGGGGCCAGACTCAGGGAGAGGCATCTGCTTGTCACGAGATCACACCAGTGACGAGTAGCACTGTCCCTTGATCCTTAGGCCCCAGGGGAGGTGGGGCTGGAGAGCTTGCCCACTGCATCAGCGGGCAGCTCCTACCTGAGCTCATAGCACATGGGGGGCCCTGTGTCCCCACCTCCCCTGTGTTCAAGGCGGGGGGTAGGGGGTGAGGCGGGTACAGAAAACAAGTCATTTGACGGTTTTCCGTCCGTATTTATTTAGTTGTACTTTTTCTTACAAGGAGAGCAGACCCTCCGCTTTAAAGCAGCAGCACTCTCCTGGGGAAAGCGGGCAGGGAGTGTGGTCGTCTGCACCTTTCTGGCCCCGTGGGCTTCCTGGGCCTCCTCTGGCCTCCTTCCCACCCCCATCCATCTTAGCAGCCCTCCACCCTGCAAGGGGAACATGCTTTGCTTAGGAAAGCAGAGCCCAGCCCTTGTTTCTGTTTCCCCTGGAGTCTCATGATTTGCATCCGCTGCATAGAAACTGGAAAGCAGTGTCAATGTCTGTGCCAATTTTTGCTCCCTTCCCTGCCTCCTTCCCCCTTTTACTTTTTATTCACAGCAGATGTGAGCTCTTTAGTTACGGAATGGCCACTCGTTCTCGTGTAGCTGTAAACGTGCACCTCCGCCTGGCCACAGGCAGCGGGCTCTTTGGTTCCTGGCGCCTCTGTCATTCCGTCTCACGCGCAGGCCTGCGGGTTGGCAGAGCCAGCATGGGGACGGCGGAGGCCTGGAGTCCAGATGTGACCTTGCGTGAGGGTCAGCTGCCGGACTGCCGCAGCGGACATGCTCTCCTGCCCCAGGCCCTGAGTCCAGAGCAACAAGCTTGGCCCCCTCAGGAGGCAGCCCAGCCCTCCAATGGTGGGTGGCTAGCCGGCCTCTTTCAGAGCTGTATTTCTGCTTTTGAGCTCAGCCGTCTCTGTCCCACCGTGGGGAAAAGGACTGCCGCCACTGGCATTAAAGCTACCTGAGACGGCTCGTGTCGGTGGTGATCGCTGTGCCAAAAGGCTCTGGGAGGCTCCCCTGCGCAGCTGGAGCGGGGATAGGGCGTGGGCAGCAGAGCTGGGAGCAGCAGCAGGGGGACCGGGTGGGGTCCGCAGGCCCCTAGGCAGGCACCGTGGGCAGCATTAGGACACGGAGCCCCAGCAGCCCTCTGCTGAGCAGGAGGACAGCCTGGTCGTGCACTAGCCCTCAAGTCTCCGTAGTTTCTGCTAGGCCTGAGGTGGGCGGCGCCGCGAGGGCAAGCCCGCTGTCTGCAGGCATGGGTTCCTCCTAGCTGCCAGCAGCCTTGGGGGGCTGCGCCTGGGTTGTTCATGGGTGTGTGGCGTGTGAGGCTTGGGAAGACCTGGGCCACACCTACTTGGCCCCCCATTGCCAGGAAGGGTGGTAGGCTCAGGGTCTACCTCTAACCCCTGGGAGGAGGGCCTCCTCATTGGCTGCCTCCTCAACTCAGGGCAAGGGGCAGCTGGTGCTAGGCCATCTGCGTGGATTGTGCCACTTCCTCTGGCTGGCCCCTAGCACAGCTGCCTGAGGAGCATTGCTGTGGCCCTTTCACTGAGTGGAGGGGTGTGGCAGTGTCCTGGCAAGAGACGGTCAGATGGCACCAGCCCCGGGGTCAGTGTGACCCATCCCTGGGCTGGGCTGACCTGGGGGAGGTCACGCCCAGAGCCCAACAAGGTGTCCTGGGGATGCACCTTCAGAGCAGTATCTCCGAAGACCTTGGTCTTGCCCCACAGCACCCAGCCCCAGGGCCCCCTCCCACAAGGCGTAAGGGCTGACACCGGCTCTTGGCCACACTGGAATTCCGCGTACACGGTGTCGTCTGTCCACGGTTGATCATCCGCCAACATGGAGTGGCCTGCCACTGGCCCTTCACCGAGTATTTGGCCCCTAAAAGGCCACACTTAGCTCTCCCTTCCTGCGGTTCTGATTCTGTTTGAAAACCTTACCATAAAAATGCCCTGTTGCCTCTTACTAGGAGTTTTTCAAGAAAGAGCTGCCTGCCTCCCAGCTCCTGAGAGCAGGGACTGTGTCCGGCCACGCCTATGCCAGTGGCATGGTCCAGGGAGCAGGACCCTTCACTGCTGCCCCCGATCTGAGATCTCACACCTCAGAGGCCTCTCAGTCCAGTACCTGGACAGGTGGGGAAACAGGCACACAGCGCCCCTGGTGTCCCCGAGCTGGCCTGTGAGCGGAGGCTGGGAGACCACCGTCTTGCTGGGCCCCCAAGCTCACTCCCCGCCTGCTGCGCTGGACAGGGCCAGACCTTGACCTGCACATGGTGGTCCTTGTGCGGGTACACAGCTCGAGACCCTGGGTGAATAAAAGGGGGCCAGGACTTGGTAGAGAAATCTCAGAACTTGTATACCCACCCGCAAAGGAATGCCCCAGTTGCCTTAAAAGGAAGCGTTTCCATGGACCAATGATGGGCTGTTACAAATAGCTCTAGAGAGATAAACAGAAAAGGAGGGGGCGGCAAATACACCCAGCTCTTGAAGAGGCCCAAATGGCCTGTCAGAGCAGCTGCCCCAGGTCAGCAAGCAGCAGGGCTGAGGGTTACATCTGGATCGGGGTGGGGGGAGGAGACTCGAGCATGGTGGTGGGGGTTGGAGGTCAGCTGATGTAGCTGGAGTGGGGGAGAGTGATGCATCAGCTGCCAGGCAGAGCCTGTGTCACCCCAATTCTTGCAGCACAGAAAGCGTGGCCAGCGCCATGACCAACAGGCATCCACGTCAGTGATTCGCGGGAAGATGGGGCCCTGTTGCGTCTCTCGAAGTGTCCAGATTGGAGAACGCCCCGTCTCTCTGCAAGCTCCCAAAGGAGATGTATGCACACACCGTGGGGGCAGCTTGCTGGGCATCGCGGCCCATGTGTCCTGAAAAAGGCCTTGGGGCTTCTCCGGCCAGATCACTCAACAGTGAGGGCACAGGCCACACACCAACGCCTTCCCATTCTCCTCCCGTGGCTGGCACTGGGTAGGGCCTAACTAGAAACTCTCCCTTAGGGGTTTCCATCATTGCTGTGAAACGAGCTGGCAGCAGTGATGTGTAGGTTCAGATGGGACGAAGAGGGGGCCTGAGGAATGGGCCTAAGCAAGTTCAGGTCCCCAAGTAGCTGCTGGCTGAGCAACCACCTGAAGAGGCACCAGGAGAGTGGGCCCCCAGGGGTCCAAGGGCTTGAGTGACTGGGGACAGGCAGACTTCCCCAACCCATGGCACGGCCCCCAGGAGCCAGCGTGGGCAACGCAGGCCCATCCAGAGGGAAGCAGGTGCTGCACAAGCTCATTCAAACATAGCTACAATTTAAATTACATGACAGGCACGCCTTGGGGTGGCGCAGACTGTCCCCTCTGCAGGTTTGCTGTCTCGACTGGCCTGTGGCTGCCCACCGTGGGCCCAGCCTCCCAGGCCTGCTGCTGAGCAGCACGGGGAAATGGGGCCAGGAGGAGAGGGGCAGTGGGGAGAAGAGAGTGGCTGCTGTCTCTTCTATTCTTCTATTTTCTGTTAACAATATTCACAACGTTGGGAGTGGTCATCGGGAGCCATCTGGGATGGGCTAAGGTGCCTGCGACCTTTGTGTCCTCCATCAGATGGACACTCCTGAGCTGCATTGCTCAGGTGAAGCCCTTCCATCAGGTGGCAGGACAAGACTCCAGGGACTTGGTCAGTGGGTGGCAGCTATGGGAGCCCTGGCCACCCCTGCAGACTGTCCTTCGGCCTCTGCGTCTCAGCCCACCCAGGCCACCTCAGGCTCCATCAGCCTCCTGGTGATGCCATGCTGGGGTGCCAGGGCGCAGCACAACCCTCTTCCGCCTGGCTGGCATCACCCACGCCTTTCCCGCACTCCGTCCTGGCTGTGCTGGGGTTTTCCAGACTCCGTTACTCCTTGGCGGTTAAACTGAGTTGTGCCTGCCCCATTCCCGTTCATATGTCGAAGCCCTAACCTGTGATCAGAGACAGAAGCCTTTAGGGAGGTGATAAGGTTACATGGAGATCCCCATCTGATAGGACTGGTGTCCTTATAAGAGGACGAAAAGACCCCGGAGGTACCTCTCCCTGAATGCGCACAGCGGAGGGCTGTGTGAGGATGGGGCGGTTGCCCGCAAGCCAGGAAAAGCCACCCCGGGAAGAACTCACCCTGCCAGCACCTTGACCTTGGACTCCAGGCCTCCAGAACCGTGAGGAAATAAACTGCTGTTGAAGCCTGTGTCTGTGCTACCCTGTTAGGGCAGCCGGAGCTAACACAGCTGAGACAGCCAACTGCTGGGTGCGGAGTCGAGCTTGGAGGCCGGGTCCTCCCCTTGAAGCCTCCTGTTCACTTCCCCGCCTTTCAGAGGGGGGCCAGGGTCAGCCTGGGGTCAGAGGGCGGCCACAGCAGTGAGCCTAACAGACAGGCACAGTCCACGCAGTCTCTTCTGCCTGCGGTCAGTGTGAATCTCTTCCAACTAGACAGTCACCCTGGGGCCCCTCGGGGTGACCTGACCACAGCCACCACCCGGATATGGAGAGCACAGGGCCTTCCCAGGCTTCTGTCTGCACGGTTGCTCGCCCCACAGTGAGGTTCCCCAGGCCATGGCACTGCGAGCCGGAAGCCACCAGGCAGCCTCTCGCCACCCCCTCAGCTGCTCAGCCTGCAGACCCCCCTTCCCCGGAGCCCCGAGGTCCCACCTCCCTGTGGTGGCCTGAGCTTCCCTGGCTGAGGGAGTGGGCGAGACCCAGCAGCACCGGAGAGGTTGGCTAGGGCTGACCCCCAGTGCAGCAAGGGCGCGAAGACCTTGGGGTCTTGAGGATTTCTTGACCCCAGAGAAGCGACACCTACCTGGGAAAGAAGGCTGGCTGCTGGACAGGCTGGCACTTACTACCAGGCGGCGTGGACTGTGGCCTTTGGCCTGGCTGGTGCATGGCCACCGCTCCCCAGGTGCTCAGAACCGAAACCACGTGCCTGTCCTACTGGACTGTGTGGTCCCTAAAGCTGGCTCAGGGCCACCATTCCCTTTGATTTTCCTTATGAGAGCACCCCCACATTCAGACGATACCAAGCCTTTAAAAGGACAAGTGGTCCTCACACAGTCCCTGTGATCGGCAAATCGTGCCCGCCCCACCCAGGTACGTCCACCCAAGGCCTCGTCACGTGACATTGTTCGGAATAAGGGTCTTTGCAGATGCCAGTGAGGTCAGGATCTCAGGGTGAGGCTGTGGATCATGGTGGGCCCTAACGCTAACGGCAGGTGTCCTTGTAAGAGACGAGGAGACGACACGGAGACACCCAGAGAACCCACGGTGAGGATGAAGCCGAGCTCCGGAGAGGAGAGCCGAGGTCCTGCATTTTGCGCTTCAGCCCCCAGAGCTAACGGCAAGGGGATGCATTTCTGGTGTTTTAAGCCCCCCAGCGTGTGGTTATTTGTTCTGGAAGCCTTAGGAAGTAGTGCAGTCACTCCGTGATGGAGCCAAACACCACAGCCAGATCCTGGCTCTCTGCAGACTGGCCAGTGCCTTCCTGCTCCGAACAGGTGCGGACACCTTCCTCCTGGGTCTGGGGCCAGAGGCCGAGGGCTGGGGGCGGGGGCAGTTGGTGCCCTGCTCCACCCCCTCCACCAGCAGCCCTGCCCACCAAAGGCCCCCCAGAAAGCAGAGAGCGCCCTCCCTGCCAGGCTGCTCACACAGCTCCACCTGCAGACCCTCTGGGTCCACGCCCTCCTGGCCTCGGCCTCAGTCCCATCGCCCCAGGCCTGCCCTCCTCTGGTGGGGAATCCCTCCCCTCTGTCCAGTCCCTCCCCTCTGCCCACAAACACTCAGCGCCGTCCAGCTCCCAGAGAGCAGGAGAGAAGGCGGCAGCAGCCTTGGTGTCCTTTGCAGCCCCCTAGCTGCCCCCTCCTTCCCCTCCGGCATCTGGCTCCGGGGAAGGGGTGCCTGCCCTGTAGTCTTGCATCCCGCAGCCCAGGGCCTGAGTCCAGGTCGGCCCGGCTCAGGCTGGAGGCCCACGGCTGCTCCCAGCCCGGACTGCCCCTGACACGGCTCCCGTCCCTCCCGCTGCGCCCTCTCCTCCCCACGCAGGACAAGAGTGACTGGCTGAGCAGTCTTAAATTCATTCCCAGGGAGGTTCCATGTTTTCTCAGTGGGCTTGCCTTCCTTTCCTCCAGATCTTTCTACAATGTCTCTGAACTGCCTTCAGGTTTTCCTGCAAAAGAAGTCGTTTACTTAAAGCCGTGCTTTGGGTTCAAGACAGGATAAGGATGGACTGGCATCCCCCTCTTTTTTAACCCATTTGCTTAAAGTTTCCCCACAGTGAAGTCTACCCTCGAAGGGAGATTTTTTTCAAAAAGGGCTGCAATTCCTGAAGATGATTCTGTAAAATGAAACCCAGGACTGTTTGGGGTGTGGGATGTGTGCAGAATCTTCAGGAGGCTCCTTTGCTGCACCGACTGGGGGTGCAGACCCTGGATTGAAAGGCAAGGCTTGGCTCTCCCTCTTGGACAACTCACTCAGCTCTCCGAATCTCACTTCCCTCACCTGTAAAATAAAAGCTGCAGTAGACACTGTGACACAGGCCCATGAATATTATTTGAGCCTCAAGCCCACGGCGCTGGAATCCTTTCATCAGGCTAGTCCCTGACCCCAGAGCCCCTGCCATGATGTGCGACTGTTCCCTGGGGTCCCCAGTGCTGGGTGGAGTCGAATCAGAAGACTGGACAAGGGTTATTGCTTTCTGTGGGTGGGGACCTGGGTGCTGAGGGGCAGTAAAGAGCACCATGTCCTGCGCCCTTCCCACAGGCCAGGCCCTGCCCTGTGGACACTTCCAGGTTCCCGGTCAGCAGATGCTAACCCATCATCACTGTTTATTAGCCACGTGGTTGCCGTTCTGAGGGCCTTGAAGAGAAGCATTATATGAGTGCCAGGGACACTGAATAGTGTGGGACCCTTTGTTTAGTCACCCAATATCCCCAACTGGTGTGGGAGTTTTGCCATTGCTCACAGAAGAACTGGAAGCACAGAGAGGTTGAGGAATGTGCTTGATGTCACACAGCTAGTGGCTGGCTGAGCCATAGTTTGAACTCAAGTCTGGGGACCCACAGAACTGGTGCATGCCAAGGCCCACTCACCATTCCCTTTTCACTGGCCTTGGTTTTCCTGACTGTGATGTAAGAGGGCCTGCTGATGTCTGATCTCTGTAGGCCATGAGGGAGGGTGGATGCCTTGGGCAGAATCGGTCCCCTTCGTCTCTTCTGGGTTGCCAGCTGGCCATCTCCAGGGGCTTCTGGGGCCTCAGGCCATGGCCACTGGGTACCTGGGTCCCTCCCGGAATGAGCCGCATGGCTGTGGAAGGCAAACAGCCCATCTCTGCTTGCAGACGCATCGTCACTCATCTGACAGACGCACCGTGCCCGGGGCCCAGAGCTCCCCTGGCTCCGGCAGAGGCATGTCGGGAATCCTCACCACATGTCCCGGCACTCAAGAGTTGATGGCCTGCTAACTGTTGGGAACAGTTGTTTTCTGATTAAAACTTGGCCTGCAGCCATTCTGGCCTCTCCAGCTGTGTGGCAGATGAAACAGCTGGGCCCAAGTGGGGCGGTAATTGTGGTGGGCATCAGGGTGAACTGAGTGGGTCCGTGGGAAGCCAGAGGTGCTGGGCTCAGGGGCGGTCCGGTCTGCAGACCTCTGATCATCTCAGTGGAGACAAGACCCCAGCCTAACAGGGCCAGCAGGACCTGACCAGAGGGGTACTCTCAGCCCATGAACGGAGGTCATCGTAGTATCCTAAGCCCTGCCCCTTGGTGGCCGTGGTAGAGGCTGGCCCTCACACACTAATAATGCCCTTCTGGACAGGTAGCGGGCCACCTGCTTCCCCAGATGCCCTCTTGCTCCAGGCCAGTAGCTGTCCCAATTGCCTGTTCTTTCCGCATCTCCAGTTCTGGGGCGCCAGCGAGGATGAGCTAGGACAGGTGAGGCTGATGGGACCACGCAGCACTGAGGCCCAGCCGTGGACTGATGTGAAGCCCAGATGGCTCTGTGTGCCCCACCCTCCATCACCATCCCAGACCTCCCACCTCCCCCGCCTCCAGAGCTGTGAACACGTCTCCTGACTGCAAGGGTCACCCTCCCCATCCTGTGCATTCCAGGCTTGGATAATCTCGCAGCATGTCACTGCCCTGTCCCAAAGATGCAATGACGAACCACTGTCCACTCTATAGAGGTTACAGTTCAAGACCTGGTGGGGGGCCCTCTCTCCTCTGCCCCAACTCCACGCGCCCAGCCACATTCCCCGCTCTGCCCTGTACCTTCCATCTTTGGTTTCTGAGGCTGACCTGGTCTCCTTTAGTTCCTTGCTTTCTCTCCTGCCGTCTACTATCTCTGCTATGCCTTCTCCTGTGGAGACCTTGCTCACACAGGACCAGCTCACACTGCTGCCTCAGCCAGAGAAGGCTCTTAGAGATCTGACAAAACCGACTCCGTCCGGTCCCCAGGGTGGGTCACAGGCCTGACTGCTGCTCAGGGAATGTCAGCAGCCTCCTTCTTGGCGGACCACGGCTTTTTTGCTGTATAAGTTCAATGGCAGAAAATCTAGTTCAGTACTGTTAAAAAAACAAAACTCAGCCAAGTAAATCTGAAGATCTACTTGGCTTTGTTGATTGATGAGTCAGCAGCATCCCTTCTAGCAAATATGGAGATGCTCCAGGGAATCGTACAAAATGGAAGGTTTTTACAGACAGGAAGGTCGGGCAAAGTTATCAGCAAAGAAAAGAAAGGATTGTTTTAGGCCTGGTCACTTTCCCTTAGGGTGAAGAGAATGGGGCCCTATGCAGACGCTTTATCTTCTTTGGGGTGGGGGAATGGAGAGGGCCGATGTGACAGATGAACCCAGTGGTGCTTGCTCACTAGAAAATTCCTGACTGACTGGTGAAGATGACATTTCTGGGGGAAGTTGAAACTGAATTAGGTTAGGTATTAAGGTATTAGGTTAAATATTGGCGACTTGGCCTCATGTAAGTACTCTCTTTTGGACCTGAGGTTTTCTTTCTGACAGTAGTGTTCGCTCATTACAAGTATGTTGCTGTGTACAAGAGTACTCCTTGGAACTGTGTTCCTAATGTTAAGAGATAATTTTAAAAAAGTAAAATTGTGACTCATGCAAATATAAAATAAACACGTATAAAAGAGTTTACTTAACTCATAAATTAAATGAGAGGGGACCACTAAGATGTTACCCATTAGTTCAAAGGAGAATTCAAAGGTTAGACACATTTATAGATCAGAAATATTGAAATAAACTTGCAAATGGCTTTTCTACCGTGTGTGTGTGGCAGAGGGGATTGTGCCTAGACAAGAATCATTTGCACTGCCATCAGTTTTCTACAGTTTACAGAGTTGTAACAGAGCTCAGACAATAAAAGGCCCGGAGCCCCCACAGAATCAGAATGAGATGACCTGGAAGGGTGTGCTGCAAGGATGCACAGACTTCCACTGGAGACACCATGGATCTTTTTGCCTAACCCAATTTTCCTTCCACTAATAGCTCATAACTGGAGACAACCCAAATGCCCATCAGTGGGAGAATGGATAAACCATGGTATGGTAAATTCATACAATGGAACACTACACCCAAATGATACTCATTCTGCAGGCCACAGACGCACGTAACAAGATGGATGACTCTCACAGACCTACTGTTGAGTGAAAGGGGGCAGGAACAAAGGAATGCATACTCGTAGTAGGCTGATAATGGCTCCAAAAGGTATCAGCCCTAAGCCCTGGAACCTGTAAATATTCCCTTATTTGGAAGAAGAGTCTTTGTAGATGTGCTAAATTAAGGATCTTGTGATGGGGAATTATCCTGGATTATCCAGATTGGCTCTAAATGGCATCAGAAGTGCCCTTATAAGAATCAGAGACTTCACACATCCACACACCCTGAAGAGGCGGCCACAGACAGGCAGAAATTGGAGTGATGCAGCCACAAGCTAAGGAACACAAAGGAATGCAGGCAGTCAGCAGAAGGTAGAAGAGATGACAAGGAATGGATTCTCCTCCAGAACCTTCGGAGGAAGCTCAGAGCTGCTGACACCTGGATGTACAACTTCTAGCGTCAAGGACTATGAGACAGCATGTTTCTATTGTTTTAAGCCACCAAGGTTGTGCTGATGTGTGCAGCAGGCCTAGGAAACCAAAACAATATGATTCCGTTTACTTAAAGCTCAAAATCAGTTCTTATTAATCCAGATGTCAGAATGGTAGTTACATCTGAGGAAGATATAGTGTTGTGGGTGGGAAATGGGGAAACTGCTTTTTTCCTGATCGTTACTTTTTGATATTTCATTGAATTGTACATTTATTTTGGACCCTGTAATATCAAAAAGGATCTTTCAGTAGCATGCATGACTTGTCAGTAGCAATGGGGTGATGGCAGGTGCTTGGGAGCAGACAGTACTGTGCTGTTTCTGCCATTTGCTAGCTTGGTGGCTTTGGCCAAGGGAAATAACCTCTTTGAGCCTCAATTTTGTCCTCCATGCAGTTCTTACAGGGGTGATAGGAGAATCTAAGTGATGCTGATTCCTTCTTGAGCTGTAAATGCTTAAACAGATGCAACATTAATGCCTCTCACATTTATCAGCTATTTGCTGGGTGCCGGCCATTGTGTTAAACCCTCTTCATGCATGATCTAACTTAATCCCCACAATGACCCATAACAGCACCCATTTTGTAGATGAAAAAACTGAAACGCAAAAACAGCTAAGAAGCAATGGAGCTAAGATTCACACTGGGTTGTCTGATTCTGAGTATCATCACCTCAGTCCTACACTAGGGTTGAATGATTATCTCCAGAGTATTAAACCATCACGGATATTCTGGTTTTAAAAAGAAGGTGCAGATTAATATTCAGTAAACTATTATTCATGTTAAAGAAATTTGTTCATTTTGAATATTTGTTTATATCCATAAGATATCTCTAGAAGGTATCAAGAAACTCAATATAGGTAGTTGCTATGTGGGAGGAGGAACTAGATGTATGGATGTTTTTTGAATTTTGAAATATATAAATGTATTAGAAATCTATTCCAAACCAGATAAAAAAGGAATAAAATCAAGACAAAAAAATAAAGGAATTAATTCCATGAATAAGTTTACGTCAATGATTTTGAAAACATCAACAAAGCAAACACTTTCTTGCAAAAATATAACAGTAAAAATGACACAGGAAGAAACAGAAATTCTGTCTAGACCTAGAGCTATTACAAAAATGCAATGCTTACTTTAACATCTGCATCCCATACCCTGAAATCTCACAAAAAAAAAAACTGAAGAAAAACAACAGACCCAGATGATTTTACAGGCAAACTCAGCAAATATTAAAAAGAACAGGAAATCCTGATCTTATGCATGTAATTTTCCAGATAAAGAAGAAAACGGAAGTCTCCTCAACGATTGTGAATTATAAACTTAATCCCAAACCAGACATTGACAATACAAGAAAGCCTAAGAGAGTAGGCCAATATCTCTTATGGACATATATGCAAAAATTCTAAATAAAACATTTGCAAATAGTCCAGCAATGTATTAAAAATATATCCAGGCCAAGTTGTCTTCTGCCTAGGACATTATCAAAGAAAAAATGTGTATGATCATTGCGACCTAACAGATCTTTAACTTTATAAAGGATATTTAGCCTCATTATTTTCGGTGGCTTGCCTGTTACTGTGAGCTCTGCTGCACGGGGAGCGCCAGCACGACGTGGCTTGCGTGTTTTTCTCATCACCGCCTAATTTATGCCTAGCACCGTCCTTGGCACACTGTAAATACGTGCTGTACGAATGGAAGATCTCTGAGATGAGACAAGCTCCCGCGTAAAACGACCTCTACACCGGCCAGCCGGCCGCGCCCAGCGCCATCTCCAACAGCATCCACCCTCCGAAACGCCCCGGCGAGGCGTGACGCGTGCGCGGTGGCTGCCCCTGGCCCTTTTGTGGCCGGTTGGGTGGCAGGGCGCCTGCGCGACTCGGAGTTGTGAGGGACGCGAGTGGAGTGGGCGGGGGTGCAGGCGTCTGCGCGACGGCGGGGACGTGGGCGGGGTCTCGTGGCGCCTGCGCAGTCGGCGGCAGCCGTGTGGGGAGGGGATGGAGGCGGGGATAGGGGCGGGCTGAAGGCGGGGGCCGCGAGGGAGGCAGGGCGGGACGGGCGAACGGCGCCGCGGGGTTGGCTGCTGCCCTGAGGCCCGACTCAACGGATTCGGGCCGCGCCACCGGGCGAACTCGCGCCCGGCCCCAACCCGGAGCCAGCAAGCGAGCGAGGCGGCGCCGCGCGGTAAGAGCCAGCGCCGGGTCCCGTCAGTGTGCGCCGGCGGGCCGGTCCACCTTCTCAGCGCCGCCCGCGCGGCCAGGCCCAGTCGGCCCCGCAGACCCCGACGGGCCCGCGCCTGCGCCGTCCCCCGCCCGGGCCCCCAGCCCGCCCCGCGCCTGCGCCGGCCTGCTCCCAGCCGGACCTGCAGCCGTCGGCGCGGATCCCCGGGGCGCCCCTGACTGGTGTTCCGGGATCCCCGTCCGCCGGATGCCTCTGAGCCGAGGGGCCGAGTGCGACCTTCACGCTTTGCTCTCCCCTCGCCCCAGGAGGGGCTGTGGCCGCCGCCCGTAGTCCTGTCCCCAGCCCGCCGCGGGTACCAGCTCTGCTCCGGAGCCCCGAGGACGCGGCGCGGGGAGCAGCCCTCCCCGCTTCGAGGTCAGCCCGAAGGCAGGCGGAATGTCCTTTTTTCTTGAGACCTGGTTAATTGTATCAGGTTGGGTAAGAATAGTTCGATGCTTTGTTGAGGAAAATTTGCATTTCCCGCAATCTGGTAATTGTGTGGTTTAAGTGGTTAACGTTTAAGACATAGTTCATTCTTGGGTAGCTCCCTTGGAGATAACGAAACCATTTTCCAAGTAGTTTCAGCCTATTTACAAGACCAAATAAGAATTCCTGTGATAACTTGAATGCATAGAATCCGATTTGTTGATGCCCTTGATAATTTGCCGGCAGGTATGGGAGGGCCCAGGAAAATTTCCAAAAATTTGCTGCTCTGAATTGATTACAGGGAAAGTGTATTGTAAGAAGAGCTACTCATGCCATGGTAATGTTTCCCGAGTTTGCAACGGATTCGAGAAACTAATAAATGTTGCCGAGTGCAGCAGTGTTTGCTGTCTGTCCCTCAAGAGGATGCATCTTGAGATGAAATCAGAATTGTGGATTTGGTAGATGTCAGCAGACATCAGCATAATACATATAGGTTATAAAATAGCCAAACCAGTACAGAAGGTGTATGGTGTAAGGAAAAGTAGGGTGTTGATCTGATAAGTTTTTCTGTAAAGAAACAGCCAGCTGATCCAGGACTTTTTTCTTTTTAAAAATGTCGCTTTTGTCTCCCCCCACACTCCCACTCCTTTGATTTAGTGTACACCAAGCCATCTCGAAAGACTCAACTTTAAATAGCTGGAGAATGCTTCTTAATTGCCCTTGTATACTCTCGGTGTATAGGTATTTTCTTAATGTCCATTTTTAGTAAGAAAGTGGATAGTGTGTCATAGAAAAGCTTTATCACAAGTGCACCTTGGTAACAGTCCAGATACCTGAGTGTCAAGTACAGGATCATGGTGAGTGGAAAGTAATTATAGCAGTTGTGGTTAAGGTGAGGTTTGTATCGCAATTTCTGCTGTAAACTTGAACTTGTAGGGAATATCTGCAGTATGTTGTGTTGGGATGGGATTTCTCTGAAGCAGAAGTTCTCTTTATCACTGACAACACAGTCCCGCTTATATTTCAGGTGACTCAGATGATGCATTACTTTGGTTCAAAATTACTATCAGGGATGAGTTTTTATAATACAGAATATTTGCCATATAAACATATACATATTTAAATCACGCTTCTAACTTTTCCATAGTATTTCGCAAAGTATCCAGCTTAGTAGAGGAATGGTGATAGGCCAAGAAATTCTTTTGGCTTTATGGCTTTGGACAAGTCGGTGTGGTTTCTGGACCTTCTTTGCCCCATCTGTAAAGTGCAGGGGTGGGGAGGAGGTGGAAGGGAGCCAGAGTTGCCGATTTTAACATCTAATGGATCCTTGCCTACAGAGTCCTCTTCAGCCGGGGGTAGAACTGGGTCTTCTCACCAGTTCCATGCCATTGTTTGTGATCCCTCCTCAAAGATGGGGTGAAGGGGCATCATAAAGCTGGTGAGAACAAATCTTGGAGACTCTTGGTCAGGCCTTTGAAATGGAGTGTTAAACGTGCCTTAGCATATCGAGAAAAACAAGCACTATATGGGGAGTTTTTCATAAAATGTAAATTGAGTTAAAGGACTGCCCTTTCTAAAATAATGTGCCATTTCCTTGGTGTTAAGATTAAGCATCTTTCATGAAATGATGGTGATAGTAAATGATACTATATGGTGATCATAAATGGCATGTACAAGGTTGGTTATGTTATCACAATAGATATTTTTAGGAATAAATACAGTCCAGAATCTATTGTTTTGCTGCTGCTGTTAGACAGTTTAGGAAAAACTTCTTGGGACTTTTGCTGCTAAGATTAAAATACAGACTATTTTTAAGAGTAAATACGAGTTTACTTTGTGGTCATTTGTCAGAATACACAGGCAACTGAGAAAGCTCTGTTAAATCGCTTCATGTTAAAGATGTTCCTATTCTGATCATCCTTTGGTATTGGATATAGAATGTCAGGATATTTTTTTGTATCTGCTTGCGCCAACAAAATAAGCCTTGGCAGGGAAATTCCTTCTCATGGTTGGAATTGTTAGTACTGAATAGGCAAGCTGCTGAGGCAAAGAAACCCCAGGGGGGTTCTTTGTCAACTCAGAAATCTTTCAGTATTGTGGTCTCAGTCTTTTGCTATGAAACAACATGACCATCAAGAAATTAGGTTTACAGATTGTATTTCAGATCTGCTGAAGGGGAGAAGTGGCTCAGGTCTGTTCCAAAGTGAATATAACAGATGATCTTTGTTGTCTGTGAGGTCTTTAAAATTCATTCTGGTCTGCTGTTAGAGAAGATTTGGAAATTCTGTAAACCTTTTTTTTTTGGTACTCACAAAACTACAATATATCAAACATACATTTTAAAAGTGTTGAGTTAAAATTAATAATGCAGTTTCTAATTTCTACTCATTTCTACATTCAGAGGACAGCTGTCTCCGAGTTTTCCATTTTCAAAGGATAACCCCAGAAAGGAAATTTGTTCACAAGAGAAGAGAGTAAAGATTTGTTAACAATGTTTTTCCCGACCTTTTCCCACATCTTCATGGTAGTTCTTTTCTTTACAGAGGTTTGCTCCTGCCTCTGTCTTTCCAGAATATTTTGTTCAGTCACTCCCTTCCCCCATCTCCAAATTTAAACTCTTTCAGCAGCTCCCAATATCTTCATAATCACGTCTGCCAGTCCTTAGCTTGGTATCCAGGACACTGCTTTACTGGGCTCCGGCCTCCACTCTCACCCTTTTCCCACCTCTTTTTAGGTGCTTTATTGAGCTTTGCTCAACAGCTTCTGGTCCCTTGAACTCTGTTTAGTCTCCTTGTCTCCCTCTGCTGGAATGTTCTCTCACTTCATCTGATTATCACCTTCAAAACTCAGCTCAGGTACTACCTTGCCTGGAGGGCATTCCTTAACCCTGTCTTCTGCAGACTTGCCTAACACCCTGTCTAGTTAAGATTTGACACTATTTTTTCTGCTCCCCCCACGAGCTGGTGACACCGCAGTGCATAGCAGTGCGTGACTTGATGGAAAGTCGCTTCTTCTGTGCGCATTGTGTGCTAGGCGTGTCAGTGCCATGGATCGCGTAGGGCCCTGCCTTTAAGGAGCTTTTAATTCCAGATGCACTTGAGCTCGACAGCTGGGAGACACTTCCCAGTCTTTCACCCCAACTTGCAAAGTCTTTTTAATTGTGTCTGAATGTCTAGTTCAAACCCTGTTTCTTGTAGGAGGAAACTCTGTCTTTAATGTCAGTTTTACCATCCAGAAACCAGTCGGGCATTGTCTTTGTTCCCAGCTGGAAGGAATATGCATTTGGTGCATATTGCTTCCCCTTTTCTCCTTGTATACCTTCCACTTTCGTGGGTTTTTTTTTTTAAACTTGGTGTGTTTGAAAGGTAAAGGTTTAAGAAATTAAGATACTAAATTTCAAATTTGTCTATTGTGTGTATAACCTAGGGAAAACAGAAATGTGTTAAAGGGGAAAAATACTTTGTTTTTTTAAAATAAAGCCCCATTATTACACTTACTTTTCAAAAGAACTAAACTTACACAAAAGCAAAAAAACCCCACTCTGGTTAGGCTTAGGAAAGGCATGCAAAAACATTGGCAGCAGTGTTATGACTGTCAAGAAAAACCTGTAAAAAATTAAAGTTGCCCCTTTCTTCCTCTCTCCCTTCTCATGTTCTTGGGGAAAATCCCAACTGAGCCATTTAAAAATGGTCCCCACCTCTTATTTTGGGAATTTCTGAGACAGTTTGTTGGGGCTGCTCTTCTCCAGAACAGTCACAGCTGGGCATCTTCTCTAAAGAGGTGCCCCATTTCTCCCGCTTAGGAGACACCATTGTCCTGAGTCTCACTCCTTCTTTCCTGGAAGCATCTCCTTGTCATGGTTTTGTTCTACCCGAGGAGCTATTGAGCTTTCTTCTTGCATACTTTATTTTTTAAATGGTGATGGGTTTGGACCATTCTTAAATCTTCTGTCCCATGTTCCTGTTCTCCCTTCCTGGTGGTTGGCATGGTCTGTAAACTCCACTGAATCATCACAGTTAGTCAGGTTTGCTTTCTCTCTCCCGTTACAAATTACCTGTTGGATTTTTCAACCCTAGTTGTTCAACCCTCATTGTTTCAACCCTCATTGTTATTCTTAATGCTCACCTCATTGCATACTTATTCAGCCTTACCCAGTCCCCCCATTCAAGGCCTCCAGTCTTGGATTTCTTTTTAGCTTTTTTGTTTTGTTGTTGTTGTTGTTGTTTATGTCCTCCTTGCCTCAACACTTGTCTCTTTTCCCCTCATACTCCATCACCGGGATTGCCACCTTTTCAAATGATTCTTCATCGTTCATGTATTCATTTGAATACAAGAATATATTATGTGTTCATTTGAATATGTGAATACATGAGTACGTGTATTTGAGTATAGGAGTGATATATTCTTGTATTCATTTGCAAACACATGGTTTTTTAAAATAACAGCTTTATTGAGATATAATTCATATGTGATAAAGTTCACCCTTTTTGAAGTGTATACTTCAGTGTTTTTTAGTATATTCACAAGGTCGTGCATTCATCACCACTCTCTGATTCCAGAACATATTCATCAAAGAGAAAACTTGTACACATTAACAGTCACTTCCCATTCTCACTCCCCCAAGCCCCTGGCAATCACTAAATCTACTTTCTGTCTCTGGATTTGCCTATTGTGGACATTTCATATAAATGGAATATGTGGCTTTTTGTCTGCCTTCTTTCATTTAGCATAACGTTTTCAAGGATTATCCATGTTGTAGTATTTCTTTGTACTTCATTCCTTCTGTGGTAAAATAATAGTCCATACTTTGTTTATCCATCAGTTGGTGGACATTTAGGTTGTTTCCACTTTTGGCTCTTACGAATGAAGCTGCTGTGAACTTTCATTTGTAAATTTTTATGTGAACAAATGTTTTCAGTTCTCTTAGGTATATAGCTAGGAGTGGAGTCACTGGGTCATATAGTAACTATATTAAACTTTTTGATGAGCCACCAAAGTTTTTCCAGAGTTGGACCATTTTACATTCCCACCAGCAGCATATGAAGGTTCCAAGTTCTCCATTTCCTCAGTGTATGGGCTTTCAGGGTATACTATTTTTAAAATGAGATTATTTTTAACACTTCTGCTTCTTTTTTTCTCCACTTAATACTTTTGGAAATTCCGTTAAATCAGCTGCTATCACTCTGACTCATTGTGATTAATAGCTTCATAGTAATATTCCATAGTATAAATATTTATTCATTTCATTTCAGCAGATAATTATTAAGTGGCTTTTACATGCCAGGCACTGTTCTAGGCTCTGGGGCAACAGCACTGAACAAAAGAAACAAGTCCCTCAAGTCTTTTACTTTCTAATGGGGCAGGGGGTAGGAAGTCAGGAAATAAACAAGTAATAAAGCCTAGGGCTTTACCCGTGCAGTTTTTTGAGTCTGAGGCATCTTTCGGAGAAGTGTATATGAAGTACTAAGGCTAGATTGCCCTTGATGTTGTTACACGATACTGTTAAGTCAGTATTAGTTTTAATCACCTTGCAGGTGAAAGTGGAAACATTTTCATAAAATAAAAAATAAGAAAAAACCCAACTGGTTAATGTAGATATGGAGTTTTTCTGTGAGAGAAGTTGATGAGTCTGAAATGTAAGTTTATAAACCTGTGATAGCAAAGATTGCACATTTATAAATGGTATCCAAGTCTGTTACTCTAGTTATAAGTAAGATACACCCTTCACCAAACATTGGCTGAGTTGTTGTATGTGTTGGGAGTTGCATCATGATGGGTGCTGCCCAGAGTACTTTTGAGGGGCATGGCAAAACTTGCAGGCCCATTCAGGAGTCTTGTTTTCTTTCTGAACTCCTGTGTATTTTATTGCCCTATGAATTATTGAGATTGTCTCTACAGTAAAGTGTACTTTAAATTATTCATGCTCATGCTTAGGGAAAATAATCTGGCTCCTTTTTTAGAGTGGTTAGGCCTGGAGGGAAAGATGATGATGTCAGATTTATGTTGATGTGTAGCCTAATTGGGCCTGCACTAATCCCTCTCTGTTGGCCCTAGAAGTAATGCAGTTAAAAATAACATTTCTCTTCTGATTTTTAAAAATATACTTGATTTTGAAATAAAGTTAGAAACACACTTGTGTTAGACACACATTTACTGTCTAAAAGTAAATTTTTCACGCATTTACTCAATCTTGTTACCTGTCCAGGTCAAAGGCTTGCTCAGCCAGATCCAGCTGGATCCATGAGGGAATGCAAATTGTGTATTAATAATCAGAATTTCACTGTAATGAATAAAATACTATTTCATAAAAAAAGTTACTAAATTCAGATACTAATTTCAGTTACTAACATTCCTTGTGTTCAAGTTTAAAAAAAAAATGCAGCCTGTAAGGTTATGTTAAAGTTGTGTTTCTGAAGGTCAAGTGTGGGATATAAATGTCAGCCAGGATACTGTCTAGCTTTACTCTTAATCACCTCCTGTCCTGCATTTGCTTCTTACTCTCTCTCCCCCATCACACATGAGCTTATTTGGGTTGGGTTCCAAAACTTTATTTATAAAACTAATTCAATTCATAAGGTTTATGAAGTTTATGTTAATAGTACCATGGAATCTATTGAGCATCTGTAGCAGTGTAGTTGAAAGGCATACATTTCATGTATACCTTTCATTAAATATGGTCCTCTCCCAACACATCTTGAGCTAGTCAGCACAACTATTACCTTCTTTAATTATTTGAGGAAATGAGGTTAAGAATACACCCAGTGGCCAAGCTTGGATTTGAGCCCAGGTTTCTGACTAAAAATCATACGTTCTTTTCACTGTCATAGGCTACCTTGCAGCTTGAATGCATTTGTTGTACGGTGGAGGAGCTGCAGTGATATTTAGCCTGAAGACTTAGGTAGGGCATTGTTTCTCTTGTAATATTTCTCTGAAATATTTGAAGAGCTTTCATATAAGAGGGATGGATTTATTTATTTTTTTGTTGCTTTGGCAAGTACTCTGGTAATTGGTAGTTAGAGTTGCACTGACCTTTTGCTCCCTGTATGAAAAATGGCCCAAGGATTAAAGGGGCTTCCCTTTTAAGTCACCACCTAGTAACAAAGGCCATGGGGCTGTTGTAGGACTTTGGGTGGGAGATTAAACTTGATGCTTGCCCTGTCTTAGCAAAGTCCACTTCCCTGTTCTACTCTTTTTTGCCTCCTGCCTCTATACCCTTTCTTTCCTGACCCTTTCCTCCTCTCTTCTCTTCCTAAGTTCATGCCTCTTGTCCCATAAGCCACTCAGAGGCAAGTTTTAAATATGGGACAGTTTCTTTATAATATTTAATGATAATTTTGTTTCATTGGTTCATTTATCTTACATTAGGAATGTATCCTCATTCCTTCTATATTATTATAAATAAAGTGACAGTTATATATGGATTTGAAGTTTACGATTTTTTTCCAGTATTATTCCTATAGGGATTTTTTTTAACTGATATAAAAATTGAAGTGTTCATGCTGTGTGGGAAGCTAAGGAGAGGATTTAATATGTGAGATTGTGTTCTGAAAAGCTAATTCAGTATTTACTTTCTCACCCAAGGTTCTTAACCTGTTTCATTGCTCGTTGCATGTGATTGTGCACATAGGAGCTACGTTTGCCTGGCCAGAGGAGCTGTGTACTGCATATGGGGAGAGGTGGGGGCAGCAGTGGCAAGTTCTGTGTGGACTTCAGAGTGACTTCTGAGAAAGGATCATTAGAATTGTCGCTGAACATCTTTGAAAGTGAAGTTCCAGAGTAGTGAGGTAAGGAAAAAAGACCTGTTACCTCTCAAACAGATGATAAATTTTTGAATAGCAGTTATATTGATTTCTTTATTTTTGTCTACTTTTTTTTTTTTTAATTCATTGTCAGTCTAGCGTTTAGGTGTTTGTTCAGTGATGAACCACTGGGCCATGCTGTGTCAGAAGTGAGCTTGGGAGATGTCAGGTGATGGGGGATAGTTGGCCTGAGAAAGGCTGCCTCAAGAAACAGGCAAATGAGAGTAAGCTAGGAGAATTCCTGCAGAAGTACAATATGATGCTTTTTAAAATAACTGAAGTTCTATCACTGTTGTCTGAATCCTTTAGAGGTGAACTGTGGTGACTGTCTGGATATGTAGCTAAGGTGAGTGCAAGAACCTGGCAGTTCACCTGATGTCAGGGGTTGGTTGCAGCAGTCTTTTTAGCCCCACTAGAATGCTTTCGGTGAGTGAGGCACAAGACCCAACTACTTTTCAGGCAGCTCAATTGCTGTAGGGGCACCTTTGATTATTAGATGCCCCAGAATCTGTCTCAATAACTTTCAACTCACTAGTTCTATTCTGCCTTTTTTAATTCTGGAAAAAAAAAAAAAAGCTCTTTTTTCAAACAGCTTACCAAGTTGAAAGTCTTTCCAGAGTTGTTTCTGGACTGGAGCCAGGCTGGTTATTAGACTCTTTCCTTGTAGTCTTGTTCTGGAACTGCACACAGTACCCTGCGGGTCCTCAGAATCTAGAAAGAGCACAGAATCTAACTAGGACTCCTGTCTTCCTGGATCCAGGCACTGTAAAGCAAAACGATGTATTTTGGCCCTGGACTGTATTACTACCCTGGAGGAGCCTTGCCTTTCTGTGGGGACACAGTAAGCTTATGCTTAGCCAGAAACTCCCGTGTTGCTTCACAGAAGCAGGTTTTCCAGAGTCTATTCTTCGGAGAGTTTTCCTTTTACTGGGAACTTGTGGACAATACCAACTTGTCTTCAACAACACCTGCACCCTTCCAAAATTCTGCTTTCTCTGGGTCGCCATTTTAAATTGGAGATGATTCACCCTCCCCAACAAAAAAAGGAAGAGACAGAAAAGAAAAAGAAGGATGATCATGTGAGGTGTTAGATGTGTTAAGTAACTAAATGGGAGTCCTTTCATTATACATGTGTGCAAATATCGATCACAGTGTCCACTTCCATCTGGCAGTTCTACTTGCCAATTATACCTGAGTAAAGCTGAAAAAAATTCGGCATGAAACATCGTGTCTTCCAAAGGTCAGGGTTTCCTATCTGGGACTTTAGTCACAGAGATACATATCAGGTCTCTTATTCATTATTTGTTAAAAAATGGCCTGCAAGGATGGTAGTGGTCCATGGGTTTTAGGCCAGCAGGCGTGTCACCTTGCTTAGTGTGCCAGCTTAAGGAAGTCAGGACACCTGATGGGCTGAGGTGTTGCGGTTGAAGCCCTGCTCTGTCCTTCTTCACAAGCTGCTTTGGCCTTCTAGGAAAGGAGTAACTGCCCCTTTACGTACTAGCGTCTCCACGGTTTTCCATTAACTACAGTTTGTGAGAGTCTCTAAATTGTTGGAGTCACGGGTTTTTTTATTTTTGCCATCTGCCCCTCTTCAGCTTTTTCTTCCTAATTTCTTTTTGGAATTCTGTTGTCTTGCGTTGGTTTCTGGAGAGGCATTCTTCTTTCACCTGTACTGGCACATATTTAAATGATGACATTGCAGGCAGGGGTCTGACGTTTCTCACATAGCTTATGGGAACAATTTTCTCAGTACCCTACATGATGTGCACTGCTTCTTAGCTCCTAGTCTGCCAGTTTGCTCTGAAAAATTGGAAATGTGTCATCAGCCACCCTATCAGGAACCCAAGACCGCAATCTGTGTGATGACATGTAATGTTTTGCTTAGCTACTTCCACATAAGCTGCTGATAATGGTTAGGATTGGGAAAAGGGGGAGAAATGGAATTGGGTTTTTGGGAGTAGGTGGGGCTTGAATAAAGGAGAGGCGGTAGTGAGCATGCCTGACGTGAGGATCTCAGGAAGCTGAGAGGCGGAAGGCGTATCACTGAGTACAGGTCGGCAGCCTTTTCTGTGAAGGTCCAGATAATAAATATTTTAGATTTTGAAGGCCATATGGTCTCTGTTGGAGCCAATCAACTCTGTCATTGTAGTGCAAAAGTAGGCACAGATAAATGTGAATTGAATGAGTATATCTGTGTTTGAGTAAAACTTTCTTTGTGGACGTTGAAATTTGAAATTTTGTTTTTGATGTCATGAAATAATTTCTTTGAATTTTTCCTCCCAGCCATGTTGAAATGCAAAAGCTGTTCTTAGTTTTTCGGCTGTATAAAACCAAGTGATGAGCTGGATTTGGCAGATGGATCATAGTTTGCTGACTCCTGTCGCAGGGAAACAGGAAGCAGAGAGGACTGGCTGAAGGGCCTGGGGAACGAGGCCGGGGGTTAGAGTTAAGGTGGTATGAAAAAGGAAACCATTTTTGTAATACTATGAAAATTTTAAAGGAAGGATATTTTGTTTCTGTGTGTGCCTGAAAGCATCTCAGTCTCTATTGAAACAAAGCACTTCTTACTATGGAAAATTTCAAACATTTATGAAGTAGAATCATATAATGAAACCCAGTGGTGATGTAGTCATCACTCAGCTTCAACAATGACTAATTCTAGGCCCTTTGCAATTCTATGTGAATTTTAGAGTCCATTTGACACTTTATACAAAAAGCCTCTGAAATTTTGATTTCGATTGTTTTGAATCTATAGCTAAATTTGGAAAGATTGATTTTCTGACAGTGTTGCATCTACCGTGCATGAACATGGTATATCTTTCATCTTATTTATATCTTTAATTTCTCTCAGCAGTATTTTTGTAATGTTTAGTTTACAGACCTTTCACCATTTTTGCTCAGATTCATCCCCTGGGTATTTCATTATTTTGATGTTATTTTAGATAGTATTTTAAATTTTTAATTTTCAGTTCACTGTTAATATAAAGAAATAGAATTACTTTTGTATACTGACCTTAGATTTTGAGATCTTGCTTTGCTCATTCACATATTCTAATAGATTTTTGCAGATTCCATTGGACATTCTTTCTATCAATGTTGACTGCAAATAAAGTATTTTAATTCTTCCCAATCTGGATGCTTTTCATTTCTTTTTCATGCCTTATTGCACTTCCTAGAACTTCTGGTACAATAATGAATAGGAATGCTGAGAGCAAACAAATCTCCTTGTCTTATTTCTGATCTGAGGGGAAAAACATTCAATTTTATGCCATTAATTATGATAGTAGCTGTAGATGGTTCATAGATGCCTTTTATCATATTGAGATTGTCTTCTAATTTAGAGTTTTTTGTTTATTTTTTTAAATTAGGAATGTTTGATTTTTGTTTAGTGCTCTTTCTGTATTGAGATTATCATATTTTTCCTTTTTCAATTTGTTTATGGGAGTTACTTTTGATTTTTGAATGTTAAGAACTTTGTGGGATAAACCCTACTTAGTCATGATGTATTATCCTTTTATGATTGTTGGATTCATTTTGTTGAACTTTTGCCTAGAATTTTTATATTTATTTTCATCAGGTTTACCAATATTATTGATATTTTCAAATAACTTCGTTTTGGTTTCATTAATCTATGTTCCCCTTTTCTGTTTGACTGATTTTTGCTCAGATCTTTATTATTTGTTTTTTTCTGCTTACTTTCAGTTTCATTTGCTCTTTTTCCTATTTCTTAAGGTAGAAGCTTAGGTACTGATTTGAGACCTTTGTCTTTTTTAATATAGGTGTTTAGTGTTACAAATTTTCCTTTAAATACTGCTTTAGAAACATACTACACATGTTTTCATCTGCATCCAATTCAAAATACATTCTTATTTCCTTTTTTATTTCTTCTTTGACTCATGGATTATGTAAAAGTATGTTAGTTTCCAAATATTTGAAAATTTCCTAGAGCCTTTTTTGTTATTTTCTAAATTAATGAATAAACAATCTTAAAAAACCCCCACAATACCATTATCTCATCTTAAAAAGCAACAATTCAAAAACAGGAAGGATAGAAAGGATTGAAAGAGTGCAGACAGGTTCAGAGAGAGACTGACAGGCCAGTGGAGTTTACTCGAGCGGAGTGGAGGGTGTGAATAAGAAGAGAAAGGGATGGACTTAGGCCTGAGGGAAAGACAAGTTTTAGTTTGTAACTGACAGAATAAGGAAGGTAAAGGAAGGCTGCGTAGAGTGAGGCCCAGCAGTGATCAAAGCAGGGGTGGTGAGATTTGGGAGAAGGTGGCACACACTTAGAATGGAACAATGAAGTTTCCAGTTTCCTGGAAGAACCCTGAAGCTTCTCTGCTTAAGTCGAGGAGTAGAATCCCTGGGGGTTATAATGGGAAGAAAGAGAGTGTGTTCAATTTCTGCTAGTACCATGAGGAGATAGAAGTAAGAAATTTAGGAAAAAAGGAGGCCTACCTTTCTGGCTGTAGTGAGGAGGAAAGGAGCTGCCTCTGTCTTTGTTGATTTTCATAGGTTATTAGATGTGGTTCTTGGAGCGGTCCTCTGGAGTTCTTAGCCTTCATTCACAGATGAGACAGCTGAAGTTTGATGATGAGTGATATAGCCACATAAGTGGTAAGTGGTGGAGCTAGCATTGGAACCCAAGTTCTGCCTGAATAATCTGAGTTCTTTCTAGTAGATGATGTTAATTCATGAGTACACACCAGCAGGTATACCAGGTTGCTACCTTGTGTCACAGGCTGCATGCCCAGTGTGATGGCCTAGAATGGTGCCACTCTCTTTTTAAAAATCTTTATTTTATGTTCCGAAGTCCTTAGAGGGGATGGCTGTTTTTAAAGCTATAACAGTCAAGTTAATCATTTATTCATTGCATCAGATTAGGTAGGCAACATTTTCAGAGGCATACATATGTGTAGGGTTTTGATAATTTTGGGGCTAGTGTTTTGAACCTAGAAAATAGTTCTGAAGGCTTATGATTTGATGACTCTTGCCTGCTAAGTTGGGAGTAAACTTCTGTTTGTATGGGAGTCTATTCTTAATATCTGCCGTTAGTGACCTTTTACTAGAGTTCAAAGTTTGCTAACATCGGGTAATATTGTTCTGAAATTTTACTTTTTAAAAATTAGAACGAAGCATTAGAAAGAAATATATTTTACATGCTCTGTTTTCTTAATACCTGATTGGCTATGTTATATTGAAATGTGACATATAATTGAGCTTTAATGTTTGAACTTGTAATACATTACTCATGCGCTAAAGACAAACAGTATGATCCTAAATTGGCAACAGCAAAATCAGTATAATTAAGTTACATGATGGGGCTCAGCATTTTTTTTTTTTTTTGAGAGGGCATCTCTCATATTTATTGATCAAATGGTTGTTAACAACAATAAAATTCAGTATAGGGGGGTCAATGCTCAATGCACAATCATTAATCCATCTCAAGCCTAATTCTCGTCAGTCTCCAATCTTCTGAAGCATAACGAACAAGTTCTTACATGGTGAACGAATTCTTACGACGGGGCTCAGCATTTTAACAAGGAAGTATGGACCATGACATTTTGAACTCAGAAGGAAGTGGTGTCCACTGTTTTCCTCTTTTCCCCTTTTACATCCTCATCCTACCACTAATAAGTGAGTAAAAGTTCTGCACTCAGTTACCGGATGTCTTACAGCAGTCAGGCTGTGAATTGTATAATAGGTGGTTAACTGACCTGTCTAGAAAGAGTTCACTAGGATTCACTTCTTACACACATATGCTTTCCACAGTGATTCGGGCAGTTCACATCATTGCTTTGCTTTTTGTCTCTTTTTCAAGTGCTCGCTTCTGTTTTCTGCTTAGTTCTCGCAGGATGTCTTTAAGGCTCTTGCCCTGCCTTGCCTCATGTATGGCATTTGCATCCCGTGAGGCCTGTGGAAGATGTCTGCACACAACTACCATTTGAGGGTGTGTTGGTAAGTGCTAGTAGAGTTACAGTCCAAGTATGGGGGGGGTGCTTCATGAGGAAGGGGACACCAGGTGTGATTGTGGGTATTGGGGAAGGTAGGTGCTCTAACCTGGTCTTTGAGGGGACTTGTACTGTACCTGTCCTTTGAAATTGGCTTTGAAGGACAAAGGAGTTTTCAGTCAATGGACATTGGAGTTGGGGGGAATAACAGCCCAGTTGGAGGGAGCTGTGTCAATAAGGCAGAGTGAACACCCAGGGTGTCTGGTTTTGTGAAAGAGGAACAGACTTGCTGTTCTGAACTTACGCTGTTTGGAGGGGGTCCCCAGAGACTGGTTTTAGAATTGCTGGTCAGGCTGTTCTGTGGAGGGCTGGATGTCGGTGAGGGGATTCCGGGCACGGTTCTTTGCTGATCATGGCACAAGACTTCCGCCCATCTTTCTTGTCATGGTTCACTTTGCCCACTAGCCCTTGCATTCTGCTGCCTCCTTCTCTACGGGCATCTTCTCTTCCCTCTTTGAGGGTCTGTGTGCCAGGCCTATGGTTACCAGAGAACATGTGAAACACCCAATTACATTTGAATTTGAGATTAACAGTTTTTTTAGTCTTAAGAAATATGTACCAAATGTGGCCTGGATGAAATACAGTGAGATGAGTGCTGTGGTGAAAGTGCCAGGAGATGGCATTTCAGCTGATTCTTGATGTGACAGACACATGAGCAGTTACTTCTCAGACAAGAAGATGGCACAGGGCTTTCAGGGACAGGGACTGTAGGAGCAGAAGTGTGGGTGTTTGAAGGAGTGTGGCTGTTGGTCTGTAATAGGAGAAGTGAGGTGGGAAAGGTGGGAGGGAGCAGGGTCCGGAGGGCCATACGTTGGCCCTTGGGCATCTGTTCTGAGGCAGGCAGTGAGGTGTCACCTGATGGGTGGCAGGGTGGGCTTTGGGCTTCAGTGGGGAGAAATGGGGGTGGTATAGGAGCATGATAGGCAGAGAGAACTTGAGGAGGTGTGGTAGTTGTCAGGCCGGCTTCCCTGGCAGGAGGAGGCCGGAGTATGACTGGCATGGATGCTGGGGGCGCAGAGAAGGGAGTGCTGTAAGTCAGAGATCTTCCTTTGGTTGCCAAGACATGGCTGTGCCATACGTCATTGTCTCTGAAAAAAAAGCACCCGTCAGGCCCTCTGCAAGTCCCACTGTACAGGCCACCCCCTTGAGATAAAGACAACCCAGGGAGTTTCCTAGCCTGGCAAAATGGTGTGGGGTTTGGAGCTGGACCTATTCAGACCCCTGCTGTCAAGTGTGCTACCTGTGGAAGGCATGGGTATTCTTTTTACAGTGAACCTGATAATCATATGACCTCCTAAGATGAAGGAGGATTGAATGAAATGATGTGTGTGGAATCCCCAGTGCAGATCTCAGCACACAGCAGGCCCACAGGTTTTAGGTGGTTCCCTTCTTTCCTCTTGCCAGGGAGGGTTCAGAGGGACTGGAGAACAGCGGGTTTTGATGGTCCATTTGCGGTTGTCAGTCTGTGCCAGGTAGCTAGGGGACTGCAGGTCTTTGGCTTACCAATCACTGGTAAAAGGGAATTGCTGGTAATGTACAGGTAAGCAGTGAGCCTCTGTGGCTCCTTCCCACATTTCATTCTGGGAGATAAGAGAGAGCCCTTCTTTGAGTTCTCCATACTTTCCCGGGGTATGTGGATGGAAGTACAAGGGAGTAACAGGCCCTGTGGCACACATGTTCCCTTCTCTTTCAGCCAGTTTTGTTGAGTCGGCTTTCTCAACTCAAAAGAATGTGCAGATGTGACCCTACTCAGGGGAATGGTACAGAAAGATGAACATCTTCCCCTCCACCCCAGGTTTAAACCAGTCCCTTTATACCAAGGTTTCTCAGCCTTGGCACTCTTGGTATTTTGGGCCATCTGGTTTTGGGGGCCGTCCTGTGCATTGTAGGGTGTTTAGCAGCCTCCTTTGCCTCTGCCCACTCAATGCCAGTAGCACCTCCACCCTGGTTGTGACAGCCAAAAATGTCCACATGTCCAGTGCCAGCTGTCCCCTAGGGGACAAAATTACCCACTGTTGAGACCACTCACTACCGTACATTCAGTAGACACACAGGAAAGGTATTTCTTATTTTTTTAAATTAATTTTCATTTTACTGAACTAGTAAAATGCTTGTTTAAAAAACATTTCATTTTTATTAAACTTAATTCAAATTATAATCTATTTTAACTTGTTTCACTTAGAATGACTTCCTTTATGTCATGGACAAAACAATTCTCAAATCTAACTTTTTTTTTAGAGCTTGTTTTTATTTTTTTAAATGAATTTTACACTATAGTTTATGTTCAACAGAATATTTCCATTTTAAATGTACAGTTTGATGAGGTCTGAAAATATGTGCAGCCATGTAAGCACCATCCCAGTCCAGATACAGAATATTTCCATAACTCTCACCAGTTCCCCTAGAGCCTATTCAATTACTCTCCCCTCTTCCCACCCCCTGACAACCACTGATGTGTTGTCTGTCACTGTAGAAAAATTTGTATTTTCTAGAATTCCATAAAATATAATGTATCAGGCTTCTTTTATTTATCATAGTGCTTTTGAGATTCACCCATGTTGCATGTATTGGTGGGTTCTTCCTTTTTATTGCTGAGTTTTATTCTGTTATGTGTATATCTATCTGTTGTATGTATACTACAATTTGTTTATCCCTCCTTTGATGGACATTTGGGTTGTTTTTGGTTTGGAGTAATTGTATGTATTTTTAAAAAGCTGCTGTGAACATTTGTGTACAAGTCTTTCTGTGGATATATACTGTAATTTCTTTTAGATAAATACTTGGCATGGCTTTACTGGAAATATGGTAAGTGGTGGTTTAAACTGTTGAGAAATTGCCAAAGTGTTTTCCTGAGGAGCCCTAATGTTTTATACTCCTGCCAGCAATGCAGGAGACTTCCGGGTGTCCATTTCCTCCCTGGCACTTAGCCTTATCTTTGTCTTTCTTTATGGTCATTCTAGGGGGTGTGAAGTGGTTCGAGTCTAAAATTTTAGCTTATTTTTAAAGGATTTTTTAGGTTATATTTGAATCATCAGTAAAATACAAAAGATAATGTTTAATTTTGTGTTTCAGGTCAGTTTGTTGTAAATGTATCAAAATGATGTTTTTAATTAAAAATATGGCCTACAGTTAATTTTATGAATACAGTATTGTGCAAGTTTGTAACTGCCTGCCAAAAATATGGCCATAACCCATGATTTGAAGGGGTCCTGAATAAACGTTTTCTTTTGTAAATATTCAGGAACTTGGCTGACGAGGGAGTAGCCAGAGGAGACTCAAAATTTCTTGAATTCTGGGAGTTTGAACGTTGGGAACCAATTTGTTTTGGTTTAAATCTGGAAAAAACATTTGTGTGGTGTAGCCAGAAATTCCTTTAGACTGTCCTTTTCCAGCCTTGTCACTTGTCTGGAATGTTAAGTATTGTCAGTAGTTTAACGGCTTTTCAGCAGCTTGTATTAAAAAGAGACATCTCCGGAAATCTGAGGTTTGGTGTGCATTTAGGTTTTTTGTTACTATGTTTTGGAAAGTTGTAAGAAGGAGGCTTAGAGTTCTAAGTCTGAAAAATCCTAGCTGTTTCTAAGTATTTCCTTGTGTCAAATCTTGCAGAGTAATAAAGAGAAATTATAAATTAGCAAGAATGTGCTTTTCTGTGGCCAAAACAAATGGAAATAACGTTGTGTGTTTGAATTTTTAGTGCTCATAATTGAACTCCTCTTTCTGTCATCCTATCAGACTTTAGGCAAGCCGCTTACCTCTCTAACCTCAGTTTCTTCCTCCTTTTCAGCCACATATGGCAATTATGAGAATCCAATCTGCCGGCGCAGCACGGAGCCTTCCACGCTGTCTGCTGGCTGTCTCCAGGCAGCTTGCTCTCATACTTAAACAATAGCAACATCCACCAAGTGTCTCTGCCTCCTCAGCGCTCTGACTGTCCCCTTCAGTAAGCCAGATTTTTGAAGTTCTTTATCCTTCATTTCCAATTCAACTTTTTATCCCATTCCACTGTAGTCTGACTTTGCTCCTGTCCTTCCACTAGGAGCTGTGTTTGTCCTGCTCACCGTCCCCTCCCTTATCGCTGACTTCTGTGTCCACTTGGGCATGGATGGCTGAACTGCACAGCCTGTCTCCCGTTGATGCGCCTCAGACTCCCTTCACCAGGTGTGGCCAGTCAGAAAGGAGGCAGCTGTGAAGGGACGGGAGTGGAAATCGGATGGGAGCTGCTTTTTCCTTCTTCTGGGACCATGAGGGTCTTTAAGGGGTGTGCACACCTGGGGTAAGGGGAGGACACTTCAGTGAAGTTCCTTCCTTCTTAGCTGGAAGTGAAAGTAAGTGGAGGAGAGGTAGATGTGAATGTGACCTTTTCTAAGTAAGTCAAAATTTGTGTCACTGATTCCTGAAAACAATACCATACCAAAACAACTTATCACATTAAATGTGCATGTTAGTTGATAATCACACCCTAATCTTAGGCATGAAATAATATGTCTTAAAAGTGAAAATTGTTACAATAAAAAGCATTTAAAAATTGTTACTAAGCATTAAACTTGTCAGTAAGCTCCTTAGTCAGAACAACATTGAATGTTTTGAGCAGAAATGGACTTTCGTATGTGGATCCAGACTAAGCAGATGCCTTGAAGGCATCTCACCATGGCTTCTCCTTCCTGTCTGTTTCATGCACCTTGAGTACACGCCTACTTGCACATGTGCAGTTTTTTGAAATGACAAGGCTCAGGCTTTTTCTGTGATTAAGCCTTGACTTTTTTCAATGGAGTCTCCTTCCAAGTCTGCTTGGATACATTTAAGTGCATTTTTCCGATTGTTTTATTAGTCATAGTAAGGAAGTTTAAAAACATAAATGTTGAGGAATTCAGTATTGGATCAGCCTATTGCATTGTGATTTGTTAAATTAAAACATTTCTTATTGAATTTCCCTTCTGCATTTTGTTGGGTGCTTGTAGTAGATGGCCTTAGCAGATGGCTGTTGGTTCTGATCCCTTTAGCAGTCTGCACTTCCCGACTCCGGTGCGGCCAGTCTCCTGACTTCAGTTTTTCCCTAACTGTGTGATTCCTCTTCCTCAGTGTTTTAATTTTATTCTTGATTTACAATTTTAAATTTACAATTTCCTGTGTTTCGATAAGAGATAAGTGTATTTAGATTGCTTGGGTTAAAAGCCTTTCTGAATTTTTAGTGGGATGTTGATATACATAAAGAATCATAACTAATAAGCAATTTCCTTTTTAAAAACAGTTGTGATTCGTGATTCTGAAGGTACAAGTTGCAATTTTGAATTTCCAAAAGCAAGCTTCTAATCCACACACCTTGCCTCTTAGCAAGGCTCACAGAGGTAGCCCGACTGGCTTGGGTCGTGCAGATGTGCCAAGCCTTCGACCACAGTCCAGGCCTCTTGATTATCATTCCTGTGGACTCCCTGCCATGTATTTCCAGTATTTCCTGGTATATGATTTTCAGTGGGAAAGAACCAGAAACAAGTGTTATTTGTTGACATCTCTGTACCGTAGTATGTAATTTAATGTGAGCAGTAGTAAGTAAACACGATCTTTAGTCATCCCTATAAAGACTTTCTCTTACAAAGTGTCTTTGAGTCGCTGCTTTTATTTTAATAAGGCATTAGTCATCCTTGGGGCACGCAGTGTGTTCTCCTGAATCATGATAGCTCGCATTTATCCCGGCTTTCCTGTGGGCTGCCACCCTGCTAAGCACTTCAGGTTCATCATTTAATCCTCTCAGCATCCTTAGGAGGTAGGTAGTATTACTAGCCCATTTTGTATATGAGGAAACTGAGAGTTCAGAGAGGTTAGGTGATTTGCCTGGGGATACAGATTCGACCATACATAGTAGGGCAGTCTTCCTGATACCGGTTATTAAATAGGCACAGTGAATTTAAAAATATCAATTAAATAGCAATTTAATAGTTTTAAATACCAGTACATTTTGTATAACACAGTGGGGGGAAAGGGTCTAATTGGAGGTGAATAGGGGGAATTCAAAGGAAAAAGTGGCAGCCATACAGATCCTGGTGACTACAGGAGGGAGGGAATGAATGGAGGTCATCACTGTAGTTGTCCCACTGTGCCAGGGCCGAAGGTGCTCACAAGGGATGGTCCAGCTCCCTAGTAGTTCACATGACAATCCACTCAGCGTGGATCCTTCTTGCTGCAGTATCATGACAGTTAAGGTAAGTTCTTAGGGTCTTTTTGTCATTACTTAAACTTGATTGGTGTGTTTGTCATGGATGGTTGAGGAGGGTGGAGTTTCTGAATCACTGAAATAAATTGCCATCCCTAATCTTGGATAGTTGAACCATTTTTCTGACCTTTTAGCCCTGGTGAAAAAACTTATGGAATGAATATGTTGATATTTGTTCTTTTTATTTGTGTACCTATTACTCTGTATAACTCCATTAGTTAGGTTTTATCAACTCCTCTTTGTGGGAGAGGAAGCAGAATTGCCAAAGATAAAAAGTGATGAAGTGATTCGCCCACCGTCAGATGGCTCGTATGGCAGAGCCGGAGCCCGGACCCGGGCCTCCTGACTGTCCCTTCAGTGCTCTGTTGCTGTTTCTGAGACCCAGAGGGAGGCCCCAGTGGTCCATCTGAGTCTTACCATTGTTCTCTGTTTTGAGTTCTGTGAATTATACTAACTTAAAAGGGTTTGGAGTCAGAAGGTACCTTTGAGGTTCCTTAGAATCCAGCCTCCTTTTATTGCAGGTGAGGCTCCTGAATGGACCTGTGATTTAGATTGAGGACAGTGCTTGTTAGAGGGAGAACTGAAGAGTTTTAAGTCAGAATTTAAAAATATCCCAAAGGCTGGAATCTTGAGCTGAATGTGACCAAATGAAAATTTTAATGGGTACAAGTGTAAATTTTTTCAGAATGTAAATTGCAAAGGTATGAAAAGGAGAAAAGTGGGGTGTTTACTGTACAATTTCTTCAACATTTTTGTGTGTTTGAAAATTTTCATAATAAAATGCTAGGGGAAAAAGAAAAGTGGCTCTGCAGCAGTTTGTGGGAGAGATTTGGCCCCGTTAGGTAGTTCTGGACTCAGTGTGAGCCTCCCTGGTAGCTCCTAGAGAAGCAGGTCTTTCTTTAGATGAAGTCAAGGGAATCTCATTGTCTGGGTCAAGAGAACAGTCACTGTGAACTCTGCTTGCCAGACCAGGTTTGTCTAGTATCAGCACCCAGTTCTGAGGGTCCTGTGCTCCACAACACGGAGGGACACAGGCAGTGTGGGAGCTGGAAGAGTGGCTGGAGATTCGGGAGACTGAGATGGGGCAAGGACAGGCATGGCGCCATGGGCGCAGGTCCTGGGAGAGCTGTGGGGGTGATGGTGGCACTTCTGTTTGGAGTGAGCTGAGTCAGGTCAGAGGGAAAGAAAGGGAAGGAGATGCCCTTGCCGTTTCCTCGTGCCTGTGGCACTTCGTCCGTCCTTGGCGGCAGCACCATTTGTTCGGGAACTGCAAACCTGATGTAGGGCTGTACCGCACTTAGTTGTCTGTGGTTTGCTGTCCTGTGCCAGGTGAAGGCTAGGGCTGGACGGCCTGCCGAGGCCCTTCCCCAGCAGTCCTCCTTTTGATGTTTCTGTATTCTAGCTGACCCACGTCCTTAGAGTTCTTCAGGTGAGGCCATGCTCTCCCACACCTCTCAGGTTTGCCTCCCACCCCCTTCCCCAAAGACAGAATTTTTGCAGGAACTAGATTTTTTTCTATACCTATTGTGCTTTGTGTACATATACTTACCTTGTTTTCTCAGTAGACTTTATAAAGGATGAAGACCTGTTCACCATTTATGTACCTTGTTTCTTCCTGTTTCTTCACTAGACTGTGAACTGCTTGAAAGTAGGGATCTTTTGAGTTAATCATCATTACATGTCCCTGTGTTTATTTAGGCCTTGTCTCACTAGCTTCCCAGAGAATTGGTATTTGGCTTGTCATGGCACAAAATAAATATTCAGTGACTGTTGAGTAAACAATGACTTTCTTCATGACTTTTTAAGTACCTTCCAACAGTAGATGCTTGTAGCTGAAGATTTTTGTCAGTCGTGTTGCATGTGGTATTTCCTATAAATGGCCTCCAAGGTACTTTTTATTTTAAAAAAAAACATTTGATTTTTTAAATTTTAGTTTGAGTGTGTCTGTGGTTTAATTTTTAAATAGTATTTCATGTACTATATATGGAAGGTAAGAGATGGCCCTTTGTTTTCCTCAGCAGGTTTTAATGATAGGATCTCTATATAGATGTAAAGGAAACTCAGGCTTTCTGTGTGGCTGCGGATGTGTAATTAGCTGCAGGCAGGACTCCTGGAGCTGCAAGTCCTGTCCTGAGGAGCTGTGAGTACCGGGACGCCCGGGTGAGAGTTCTGGCCACCAAGATAGCAGCCTTCTAAGTGCAGGGTTATTTCTATAAATGAGGACAGTTGTGTCTCTTTCTATGCCTACCAAATAATTATTTTAAATAAAAATGTAGCATGTATAGATAAGTTAATATGATCATAGCTAAGAATTCTAGTTTCATAGCTATAACTTAATACATAGCTAGACCTGGTAATAAATTTTCTGCTCTAAAAAAGATAGATTTTATATTAAGTAACATGGTAATTAGTACCTTCAAAATGAAAAAAATTTACTTAAGAATACCAGCACTGACCCATAGAATAAATAGGTAAATCTAGAAGGGGCTGATTGAGCAGTATGGTTTTAGTGTTACTACATTTTGTTCATATCTTGTACAGTATTCATCGAGATAAAGAATTGCACATTCCTGAGGAAACGCTTGTGTATGGTTGTGTTGGAGGCCATGTGGAGCTGCGGGTAAGGTGTGGGGTTTGGATTCAAACTCTTGTTACTTAAGAATGGTTGACCCAGGTAGAGTTACAACCTTTGAGACTGAGACCCTTCCTCTATCAGTGCCCATGTAGGCCCTGGTGAGTATTTAGTAAGCTGTGTTAGGTATGGCACACCAGGGACACAGTGCCTGCCCTGTCGGAGGAGCTCAAGGCTTTCAGTGCCTTCCCCTATTTTGGGAGCAGTATTTTTATTTTGATATTTTTGGGAAGTACTGCTTGAGAAGTACTTGTGACCACTTCATGGATTATTATAGTTTGAGATTAATTTAACATATGTAGAAAGACAGAATCCATA